GCCTTTTTTTTACACTGGTGAACTCACCTGAGTAACGCTATTGCTTTAAAAAGATCAATCATCAATATTTATGGGAAACTGGACTTCTGTCTAGAATGTGGTGCCCTCGAGAGGTGAGGATCCACATCTGTGTTAAGCTTTGTCACAGAAGCCTGTTTCTTCCTTCCTAGACATCTGCTCTGTTCATTTTAAGCCCCTGAAGCAGAGATTTTTAGTCTACTGTGAGTCCCACCTAAACTTGTTTGCAACTTAGGTTTTTTAAAGACTCTTACCTTTGTTACTCTAGAGCAACTTCTCCATCACGAATCAGAAATGGAGTCTTCCCTTTTTCTTTCATGGCTGTTTATGTACACAAAATAGAGAAACAGAAAAGAAAAATAGTTCCAATAAATCTTAAAAAGCATTGTCTGGAAACATGAAGATTCAGTGCAAAGCTGCAAAATTATGCTCATTCAAAAGAGGGACCTACAATGAAAATTAAGGCTTTTTAATGCACCCTTTCCCTCTCAATTTTCAAATTGTCAGACATACAATTCTCAAAGGATTCCTCAAAAAATATTTTACCTTTGGTAATTCCTACACTCCCTTTTTTGCATTAAAACACAATAATAAAGATTCAACCTCCTGTACTTTCATTTGCCTCTCTCATTTACATGTCTTTCCCTCGTTAGCTTTGATATCACAGTGCCATCTACTTGATGGACAGAGTCAGATTATTTCCCTTAGCAAACTGCCGCACTGCTGTAACCCTGCAGAAATCCAACGTCTGCTCAGTTTGATCACCAGTTCTCCTCCACCCCTCCAAGCCTGCACCTTGGAAAGCTGGCCTGGCTCCATGCATGTTTTGTGGGCTAATAAAACGCTCTGGTGGGACAATGACAGATCCAACTGCACACTAAGAGCAGTTCAAGCCCTGGTGACCCCTCTCCTTCCTGACAGATGTTTCATTTGAAAGCCGGGTCCCTCTCTGTACACATAGAGCACTTCAGCCCTTTGGACATATAAACTGCGGCAGCAGCTTTGTTGGGAGTCCTGAGGCTTCATGGTAGTCAAAGGAGCTTGGTTGCAGAGCCTGGTAGGTTGAGCTGTTCCCTCTTTAAAACACCCGCAGCCTGTTCCGAGCCCTGGAGGTGTATGCTTTATTAATTTCTCCAACAAATATTTAGAGAGGAAACACCAGAGACAGCTAAAAGAAACGATCGCTGTGCGCTCACTTCCAAGGACCTGTTTCTCTACTGGAATCACCAGTCTGGCAAGATCAGCAGTCAGAGGCAAGGTGACATTGCCACACAAAATTACTTCCCACCTACAAGACAGGCTTTTTTCTTGCTCTACACTATGGAAAGGTTTTTGAAGTTTTTTTTTTTTCCTATGTATATTTCAAAGTAGTTTTGATTCATTCTTTTGAAAGATGAATGTGTAGTAGACTTCAGTTTTACCTATCCTTAAGTCTTCCATTTTTATTGCTTTTATCCTCATCTGTCATTCTTTTCTTATCTTACAATTACAGCCCCAGACGGATAGGGTGAACATTCTCTCAGCTTCCCAGTGCTCAAAGTCCTTGGTGGGCCTTTCACGTGAGTGCTCTTATCACCTCAACATTTTGTCTCTCAAAAGATATCTTTGCTCTGACTCATGCATACAAGCAGAGCAAGAAGAGGTACAGGCTTGCTTTTATCTGCACCCAGGTGTGTGTGTGTGGAGACAGGGGGCTAATAGAGACATCTGAGCCCACTGCTGTCACCTCCCACCCGTGGAGGGGGTGGGACTGCTCTCTGTAGCATTTCCTTGTACCACGCTGATCCTCTGCTACCCACTGGGTGTAATCGCTTTACTGTGCAGAGAGGAGAGCTAATTCCAAGGATGTAGGGAAGCAAGGATGAGGAGCAACTGTGGACTCATCATTAAACATACTGATTAATCTACCCTTAATTGTCGCAGTGGGTACAGAAGGGAATGTGGGCACACCATTTCCCATCCTGAAAGATTTCTAATGTTGGCATTGAGCTAAATTTGTTTGCTGCAATTTCATGCTGGCTGGTGGGGGCATGGTGCAGTGCATTAGGAGGCTGTCTTTTCATTGAGTGGCCACTGCGCTGAGCAAACCTGAGGTGTTCCCTGCCATGCTTCCTTCCACTGGCAGGGAACAGCATGATAATCAGCCCACAGCAGTACATTGAGTGCTCTGGGATACCAAGCTATACACCAAGAAACTGGGATACCATGAAATACACCGTAACAGCTGTGAGGAACTACAACAAAACAAACAACTTAATGGCCATCAGTCTTGATGGCTTTCCTGGTTCATTTATAGCTCAGGATGAAGATAAAGGTTAACATTGATCGTAGAACAATAACCTCTTATGTGCAACTACTACAGTTGCTTGGGAACACAAAGCCAATATTTTACATGTTGACACCAGCACCTGTTCTGTCTCGTGAGTGGAGAGGTTCCATGTAAATATCCCGTATGTGAGTGCTAACATCCTCTGGCTTCCAATTTGCTTAGGAGAATTAAATAAGCAGAACATCCAGGGATCAAAGAGATATTTGCAATGATTGTAAAATGAGCATTTTGTCCACACAGATGCCAAATATTCCCTCTTGTCTTAGAGTTTAGTAACTTTGATACAGCTCAGCCATCAGTTGCTACCATGGCCAGAAGGGAACAGAAGCTGTTCAGTCATTGAGAGCTGGTTGCTACTGTTAGCTGAGTTCTTCATGTGCAGTTCTGGTAGTGCTTTCTCAGCTGTTTTATTATAGTCCAGGTGAAGTACAGCAAACAGTAGTAAGATTCTATAGGGATTACATCTGGTTGCCTCTATATTAAACCTCATGTGGAACATGACTTCAGACATGCTATTTTAAGCCCTTTCCATAGTAAGAGGCACAGAGGAGATATTTTGAGATTTCAGAAGGCACTCTGCATTTCTAGACTGTGTTGTACAATAGCTTTGGGCTCCGTGCTGCCCCAGAAATGCTGCTGTTGCCTGGACTCAGACCACTACTTGCTCAAAGGCAGGAGAAACCACAGTTGGCTTTCCCTGCAGCCACTTCTTTGCTGAATGAACACAAACTTTGTCAGACTGTGAGAGAGTAGTGGAGGAAGAGGAAGGCACCTCTTGCATGTGGGCAGATTGCTGTCGTAATAAACACCTGAACAAACCATTATATCTTGGCTGGAACTCTTCATGTGTGGCAGAGAGCCTGCAAAACCAAGAATTTAATAAAATTTGTTGCTTCACCTCCACCCAGCCAAAGTATATTCCCCAGTTTTCCCTTCAGCAATCTTAATTTAAATAAATATAATAAAATCTCCTAGCGATGATGAGATCTGTGCTTTCAGAAAAATGGGCACGATAAGATCCTTGAGGGGGCGAATAACTACTCTGGGCAGTGCCAGTTTAAGTAACTACATCTAAGCAGCTGCTCACATGTACCCCTGTGTCCCTCCCTTGCTGCAACTGCTGGCAAAACTGTGTGATGAACTAAGCGGGAGAGCAGATCCAGATGGAAAACGGCCCAGGGGGAAGTCAGGGGGCTTTCAGCCAGATCACCTCCTCCATCCAGCCTCAGATGCTCAGCTTGCACCCTGCCACCAATAATGGGAACAGGATTCCAGGGGGAAGGGGACACAAAGGGTGGTGACCGTTTAAACCAGTTTTGCCACCCTTGCTGAATGTCAAGCCATTGCCTGGATAAAAAGAAAACAAACAAAACTCAGGAAATCCCCAGTGTAAGGAAATAGGGCAGCCAGTTTCCCTCAACTCCCACCTTAATCTGTTTATTCCTTGCTGTGATGCTAGTCTCTGCTCCCTGGGCACCCTTCTCACCCTCACTGCTGTGCCTCATTAGGAACTGTTGTGGTCTGTCTTGCAACACACATGGGTTTCTTGGGGAGTAGCAAAGGGGAGAGGAGATGCAACACATGGGCTGCCTGCATACTGTGTACCTTCTCTGTGCCAGCACGAGCTCTTCCTGGTACCCTCTGCTTTAGTCCTCTGCCAGGGTCTGTGCAGACAGGACACTTTGTGCAGCACTGGCACTGCACCGTAATTTGGCATAGAGAATTGCTTAATCGTTTCTTCATCTTTTCCTTACTCTGCAGGGTAGAAATGAGGGACTTTGGTCAGGAGGCAGCGTCATAGTGGACCAAGCTCTTTTTGGATAAACACAAATTGGAGATGCATTAACACTGCTGCATGGTATCCCTGTACTCATCACTTTGTCCTGCACAGTCCTTGGGGATGCAGCATGGCAACGTGGCACCAGGGCAGCTATGAGCTGTCACCCACTGGGCGTGTGGCTGCCTCACGCAAGCAGGCTGCCCACGGGGCTCCTGATGCACTGTTCCCTAAAAGCAATGGGGCTGCAGGGCCATTGTCACTGCTGTGGCCGTGATTGCTGCTGACAGCTGTTGGGGCTCTTGCCAGGATAAGTCGGGTCCAAGCTGAGATGCCAGCAGCTCCTGCTGTTTTGACATGAGTTTGATTAGACCGGCACGACATGGCATTCACAGGCAGTGCCTGAGTGCCAGGGGCCATTGCTAGCAAATAGGATAATAAGGTCTCTCCCAGTGACTGAGCCAGGGGTACTGTGAGCAGCTGTTTTGCTGCCATCAGAGCACAGCAATTTGTCACAACAGCCTCTCCAGGTCCTCCACATGCCTCAGTGTAGCCTTGGTGTGCGCTGGCCCTTCTGTGCTCCATGTCTGGGCTTCTACCAGTGTCCCTGTGCAAGAGGAACACAGCACTGAGTGGCATCAGAGTGGGTCGCACTCTGTTTCTAACCCTGCTGAGGGGTTATGAGCGCCCTGCAGCCAAAGGAGCCAAGGAGTGTCCCCCGAAGTAGGGAAAGGCAGTGGCTGCAGCTTGGGCTGGCTCTTAAACCGGCCCCCGTAGGGCTTACTTACACGCAGTAGGTGAAAGCAAACACTGCCTGGGGCGGCAGCTTCCCGGAGGTGGAGCCACACCGGTACAGGTGGAAAGGCTGAGCCTTCCCCTGAGCAGTGAGCTGCCTGCCCAAGATCACCCCTCATCCCTGGCCAGCCTGGCCATGGCGAGCACGGACGGCATAGGGGGCCGGAGGAAGAATTTGGCCCTGCTGCGGCACAGGCTGTACATGGGGGAGAGGAGGAGGACGGAGCCCGTGGTAGAGAGCAGCGGGGCAGGGGAGCACGGTGCCTTGCGCAGGAGTCAGTCGGACAGGACAGAGTACGGCCAGAAGCTGCAAGGTACCTGGGAAGCGTGCTGGGTGCTGCGTTGCCCGTGCTGGGTGGAAGCATGGTGCCTGTGGGGTGCTGTCTGGCTCTGGAGATGGGCACGGCGGGCTCTACCCAGGCACCTGTACTGCAGGACTGAGCGATTGCCCCTGCTCACCACTCACGTTTTCTAAATCCAATCTTGCACCCAGCGCGGGAAATATAATTGAGGTCGGTATGCAGGTTCTGCTGTGTTCCTGTGCAATGTGTCTGCAGCGGGGGTCTTTCTCCTCTTCTTGACCAGAAGACATCTGCAACACAGGCAGTGACTTGAAAAGGCCATGCCTCCACCCTTGGTTGTCTTTTCTTACTGCACATAGTGAGCTGTACACTGTCTGATCAGAAGCATTGAGGGCAGTTTAGTCTTTCAGTTGAAAATACCAGCATCTCTAATGTGTTATCTGTTGCTCAGATTGTATGAGCCTGAGCTGAAATACATCCAAATGCATGCTTTGATGGATATGCTGGTTTGAATTATATCATTATGAAGAGCGTTTCTTTTCAAATAACCAAGTTGTGCCTGGGCCAGGAATTGCCAAATTATGTCAGTTCTGGGCCTGTCAATTACAAATTAAATGCAACGCCACAAATGGAGGAAAAAGCATGAAAGATGTGCATAGCTATTTCTGGGAGAGCTCTGAAACACAAGCTGATGGATTTCTGTGGATTTTCAGGGTCTTGAACTACAAGATCTCATCACAAATGTGGGGTGTGAGTACTATCACGATATAAACATTTATTACTAATAGTGATATAACTGCCTATGACAATCACTCTTGTGGCAGTAATCCTTTATGGGGAAGTAAAGTAGAAAAATACCTTAGGTTACTGTATTATGGTTTTGATGCATTTAATTAGGAAGCAATTTTCTTTCAGAGAGACAATAAAAGCAGAAAATAAAATAATAAACTAGAAAATAATAGGATTTATATGGGGGCTGCATATGCTGACAGCAACTGAGAGCTTCACTGATTACAGCGTTGCCTCCTCGTGACAACTAATCAATGGGGAGATGAAAGATGTTCAGTGAAGTCGGGCATGGCTCTGGCAGAGGTGCTTCGGGTGTGAGTGAGAATCGATGCGGCCGCGTGGCCGAGCTCCCGGCACACGTAGGTGTGTGTCTCTGGAACAGCAGTTTTGCTTGTGCAGTGGACTGCCCATGTCAGCTCTGGTTGTAGAGTGGGATCCAGCCAAATGCACCAGCCCTTCCTCTCCCACACGGTGCACTCATTCCGGGACTGTCTCTTGCTAGAAGTCTGGAGCAAAGGAGGCAGGGAAGCCTTGGCTGGCATGGCAGTGTGTGAGGTTATGCTGATGGCCATGGGCCAGCATGGTGGTAAATCCAGCTTTGCAGCTCCCACCTCCAGCTGAGGCTGCTGCGGCCACAGATGGCAGAATGCCCACCCAGTGCTGGCTTGCTGTGCATGCTTATGTCTGCACCAGAAAAATGCTGGTGGGTAATGAGGCACCTGCAGGCTTTGCATTCAATCAGAAGTTGCCTGTCCTCAGAGTAAAAATACAAAGTGGGTAGGAATTCCTATGACGGGTATTTATATTATTAGTGGAAAGACATGGAACTGTGTGCAAAGGCCTGATCTGGATCTAACTGTGGTGATCCAGATGTGCCTGCATCTGATGAAGACCACAGGTCCCAGACCTAATCTGTTACCCACTGATGCCAATGAGATACTCCTTATATGTTTTTCATTTTTTTTATCAGTGCTTAAATACAATTAGTATTGAGGGAAGTGTTTTTGTTTGTAAAATCATAGAACAGTTTGAGTTGGAAGGGACCTTTAAGGGCCATGTGGTCCAACCCTCTGCAATGAAGAGGGACACCTACAGCTTCATCAGGTGCTCAGAACCCCTCCAGCCTGACCTTGGATCTCTTCAGGAATGGGGCAACCATCATCTTTCTGGGCAACCTGTGCCAGTGCCTCATCATTCTTAGTGTAAACCGCTTCTTCATTATGTCCAGTCTAAATCTCTCCATTTTAGCTTTAGTTTGAAACTATTTCCCTTTGTCCTGTCACAAAACTTTTCAGTTCTCCTACCTCAGTAAGAAAAGCAAACAGTTATGTTGGTGATGCAAACATTCTGTTGCATATTGTCAGGTCTGGAGTCTCTGATGGCTGTGAAATGGTAAGTGTTTTGCAAAAAGATTCAAGTGACAATAGTTTGTGCTTGCATCTGGTTCTACATGAATTGGAGGCACGTATTTGGAAAGCTCCATGTTTAGTTAACTCCCCATAGTTTCCTGTTAACGTGTTTTCTAACAGGTGGTCTGCAGAGCTGTAGTAAGCACTTCAGAAACAAGGATGTGGAGGACAGGGAGCAAACTGTGCAGATGTGAATCTCACATGAGCAGGACAGGTTTCCAGTGAGAAGCATGGTCCTGCCAGAGCCTGCAGAACCCTGCTAATGAAAATCAACCCAGGCTGAGCATGAGGAGTTAGGTATCTTTGCACCCCAGTGGACTTCCTGCAAATTTTGTTCTATACGGAATCCAAACTGCTTTCTAAAAGAGGGTGGGGAAAGGTATCCACCAGCCAGACACCCACGGCAATCAAGGTGGCTTGCTCTGTAAGTCCACAAACATAAGAACAATAATAGCACTGTCAAAGTGCAAACCTTTGCAAGTGTTTTTCACTTCAAAATGAAGGATTCATTAAAAAATGCAAGTAACCATTTTCAGGTTGATTATTATCCTAGATACGTCTATTCAATACATTCTCAGGTGTGAATGCACATGCAATGCCTCCCCCTTTTCCTCCTGTTGATAAAGGAAGCAAGGTGCAAAGTAACCATTATATTCTCCAAGAGCTTGACTAACCTGAATGCACCCATTTCAGCTCATCCTGTGAGATAACCAATTGTCACCAGCTCCATTTCAGATAAGGGGAAGCAAGGTGTTGCTTTCAAAGGGCAGGTTGGTGAGACAGCCATGCAGCCACCTAGAGCTCAGCTGGGATGAGTCTAGACACACCTTGATCAAACTCTCCTCGGTACTCCTCAGCTGGAAGCGAGCATCACTTTCCTAAAAAGGGAAGAAGGGAGTTAAGGAAGATAAATTCACTAGGACTTGAGGCAGATATAATATGGAGGGTCATTTTAAGAGCTTAGGTCCAGCATCTATGATATTTCTATGCAGTGCCCAGCTCTATGTTCGCTATTTCCTGTAGTGTGGGATTTTCTCCTGCAAATATGCTCTTTTTACTATCCTTAAGTGGCACAAAATAATATTTAGCAGCTGTTTTCAGAAGTATCACCATAGCTGTTCAGCTGGTAGGTGCTGGTTTCCTACAGCTGAAAATCCATCAGTAGCAGATGGAAAAGTAACAATATCAATATCTATGTATTGCATTAATGCTGGGATCAATCTGTGAATTAACCTACAGCTGTCATCATCCTGGTGCAATACCTGTGTGCATAGATGTACCTACTGGCATGTACATGATTGGAGAATCAGGGCAGACTGTGGTAGATGACTAATGGGGATAGACACCATCAGCCAGAAAGGACAGAATAGCAAACAGAGGTTTCAAACATAGTTCACTTCTCCTAGGATTTCTTGTTTGTTTATCTGTTAATAAGCACATGTGAAACTTGTGCTTGGTATGAAAAACGAGCTATAGAAAGTGGTGAGTTCCCGGAAAGAGCTGGAGATGAACATTCACAGTGTTCAGCAACGTAGCCTGAGAAGATACTCCTTGCGTTACAGATCTATGACATACTAACTTCTTTCTGACTAGCTCATCCATGCTATCAACTGATTTGCACATGCATTAATTTCAGTGCATCAGTATTAGATACACTGATGTTAATCACTCAGCTATCACAACATATTGCCTCAGTTCTGCTAGCCGAACCCCACATTTTGCTTTTTGCCTGTGTCTGATGTGTCTGATGTAGTTCTGAGAAATAACTGACATGCAAATGAAGCCACAAAATCATAACAAATCCTGGAAAACTGCTACTCTTGGTATCCTAGCAGGGCCCTTATTCCATCCTGTCCTGCCTACCCACAGCTCCCCATTCCTTCCCACCAGGCACCTGATGACCTGGCCTCTGCATCTCCTGCCAGCAGCAGAGATCCTCTATGTCCTTCCCCAGTTCCTTGTTTGCTTTGCTCTGTGCTTACTGATTAACTTCCTGTGTGCTAAAATGCAGATTATTTCCTGTTGCAAAATGTATTGATCTTTGGAGCAGCTGGTTTGCTGAATGAAGTACAGAAAGGAGAAGTCTGGATTATTTCCTGATGTGTAGGAGATGGCTTGATGAAAATACGCCCCCATGTGCAAATTTGAACTCGGAGGATCTAATTCTGTTAGTTTTCACTGTAATAAGCCTGGAGGTATTTCTTGACCTTACTGCAGTGACAGCTGGGCTGGGAAGTGATCTCATCTTCTCAGAGCTGAATCCATTTTGTGCTGCTGTGTTTGCACAGCTCTTAGCACAGTAAAGTCCTGCTATGTGCTTGAGATCTGGAGGTGCACGTGTCCCCAGGCGGAGCAGTTCAGATTCAGCCCTTCCTTGGTTCTCCCATTATTAGCATACTTGCTCAGTGCCACAGGAGCAGTGTATTTGTATCAGTGTATGACGCTCTGGGAAGGTTTGTTTGTAGGTACTGGTGCTAACAATGAGGGCATTCTTCTGTCACCTGATGATAAGCTTTCTTCCCTTTCCCTGTGGTCACATGGGATCTGACTGTAGTTCTGTCAGCACATATATAATTAAAGCAAGCTGCTGTCAAGGAATTGAAGAAAGAACTTGCATACTGAATGTAAATATTTTCTGTGCCTTATGGAACAAGAAATGATCAAAGATGGAATGACTTAATTGCACATAAGTCTCTGGCTTTATGAGTAAACCTGTTGCCCTGGAAGCCTGCTTCAAGGTCATACCAGTTCCACAGTGCTCTCCTCCATGTTCCATCATGGAGCATTTTGCATCTGTAACAGCCATGCAACAAACCTGCTCGTGAATAATGTTGCCAGCATATACGTGTGTGAGGGGAAAAAATGGCATTTTCTACAAGCCCTTCTCGATCCTTCTTGTATTTCCATGCCTAATCTGCCTGTGTCTCACTTGCAAATCCAACTGATAAATGTGGTGTAGATTCCTGTGTACAGTCTCTGGGTTATCTGAGGGTACAGGCTATATGAGGGCTTGCTTTCACAGAGAATAATTTTATCTCAAGTGGCATGAGGTTCAAGTTTCACTTGTGAAAATACAGTAATGCTGTAATTTGTTTGCTGTTCCTTGATAACTTATGCCTTGTGCCAGGAAAAATTCTCTCACCTGCACGATGTGAGAGCTGGGCTTACTTTGGAGTCCTCCAAATGGCACCTGAGCAAGAAAAAAGTCTCTTGCCCCCTTCATGCATTGATGTTGTACTTGTTACTATATTCCGTGCCTCTACCTTCACTTCCAGATGAAAAGCTTTAGGTGCAGAGCAGCCTCCGTCCAAGCCCCGATGGCAAACTTAGCATCCACCTTGAGCATTTCACCCAGGGGAATGAGGGCTGGACCAGACCTCTGGGAGCTGCTCTCTGTAGGGCAGAAAGCCTGGGAAATTTGCAAGCATCTATCTTATAAACCTGCCCCGACTGCTTCTGCAGTCTATCCATGTCCCTGGGAGATGCTGTATTTGTGCATTGCTGGTCTCCCAGCTTCGCTGGATTATCTCCAGCCAAGGGATGATATTAGTCTTCACACTTGCAAGAAACTGCTTCTGCTGCATATGCTGGCTTTGTCTGTGGCATTGCACACCAACCTTCTCTTGTCCTATGAGTAGAGCTGTGCACTTCCATGGCTCAAAACCAAAGTCATAAGCTCCCTCACCAATGCAAAGTCTTCCAGAAAGGCAGCTCCTGCAGATAACTGGCCATGCAAAGCAACAATTGCAAATGCTGTCTTCCACTTTACATTTTTATATCTACTAAAAGTACCAATTACCTTGGCGTATGTCTTAAGAAATACTTGTGCAATAAACCATTCAAGAGAGACCATTTTTTTCTTTTACACCTGTCACTTCCAAGGATGAATGAGCTGAATTCTTACTATAATTGTTAATTCTCAGCAATGCCTCTTCCTGCCAGTCCTCCCTCTGAACTGTTCCAGGACTGGTACACATTACCAGGTAGAAACAAGTCTGCCTGTATTCCAAATGTTCACTTACTGTTTGTGCATTCAATAAACTTTCACTTACTCTGCAAGGATTTCAGCAGGCTACTAATGTGCTTAAACTGGTCAAAAGCTATCAGCTGAACGTAAAATCACAGGTTTTGGCTGTAATTATCTCAGTATCTTGCTCTTGCATTCTACAGAGACAGACATGTCTAAAATGAAAATGTGAGTGCGTTGAGTGAAAATGAAAAACTATATTACTAGTAAAAAAAAAGGGTACTTTCGTTAAAAAACATGTTTTCTGTAAGGAAACAGCATCTACCTGCTATTTCTCACTGTTATTTCTTTGTGTTGAGAATAGTTTTTATTTTCTGGCATTATTACCTATCATGAAATAAGAATAATAGATGAGCCCTGACATAATTCCTGAATCAAATTTGATCAGGGTGACCTAATGGCATAAACTGAAAAAAAAAAACAAAAACCAAAAACAACTCCTCTGGGGATTGCGATTTTGAGCCTGACGTGGGATACAGTACCTTTGTTTTGTTCCTGTAATGCCATCCCTGCCACTACTATAAAAGATGGAGAAGTTCTTCTGCAGAGCATCTTGTGTTCACCTTCAGGTGGTACTGCATCTAAGACAAAACATTTCTAAGACCTTGCTCCTGAACTCTCACGTTCAATCACACACATACAAACTATTTCACACCTGATTTCAAGAGGAATGTCGGTTTTCGTGCAGGACTAGAACTAAATTTGATTGTGTGTGGTTCCTTGCAAATTTGTAATTGTGGTTACTACCAGCTGTAGGGAGGATCTCATTCCACAACCCTAGCAGACAATGGCTCAGAGGCAGCTGTGAAGAAGTACTAGAAAATCTTTGTGCTCTCCACACTGAAGTAAGGACTGAGTCCATTTCTTTCAGCACTTTGCACCTTTGGGGGTGAATATCCATGCAAGACATACACTCACGAGCAGCGTCTCTCTAGGGGAGAATTCAGCTAAAGTTTTTCCAAGGTCCAAGGCCTTGAAGAGGGAGACATCCTGCTCTTTTTTCCATTCCATTCCATTGTCTGGAATGCTAGGACTAGGACAAAATGTTTATGCTTGTGTTATAAAGAGATGTAAATACTAAGACTCGATAGTAGAAAGAAGATTTGCTTTAGAGAAGGGAAGTACATTGAAATAGAATATAGGAAAAAAAAACTGGAAAAGCAGCTCACCCCAGCTTTGTTCAGGCTCCTTGATCTCCCTGTTGAAAACTACCAGGACAGAAGCAGAGGTGCTGTCCCTAGTGCAGCTATTTAAATCAAGCTGTGGTCACATCAGTTTGACTAGAAGGATTAGTAACAAAAACATCCTTTCTGAATATTAGCCATCAGCATAATTGCAGAAGGGCCTGAGGCCGATGATGCATTGCATTTGTAAGATTTTACAACTCTTGGTGGAAGACAGCTCCAAGTCCTCTCTCCAGAAGGTTTCCTGGCTTTCTCACAAGTCCAACTCCAGGTTATCATCTGCAGCATTGACCTGCATTGTGTGAATGAGCTGGGCTCCATTTGATGCTCACTTGAGTGCTCATGACCTCACCCTCAACAATCAACTCAAACAACAGCAATCTATTCAATATTGGTTATCAGCCAGCAAGGCATCAGATCCTGCTTGCTTGTGGCTCATTATACAGTACACTTCCTACAAGGAGCTGACATCAAAGCATAACAGCCTGATCCTCAGCAGAGATTCCCGTCCTTTGCCGCTGAGCGAGAAAATCCGATGCTGTCAAGCCACAACCTGGGTAATGCAGAGATGAGCACAGTAATGATCCATCTGCCTTTGCTGGTACCCTGCACCATCTTGTGGCTGGCGGGAAAACACCAGAATACCCTCCGAAACCTTCCACTTATTGCACCTGTGTTTTCCCTAAAGAAAAATACAGACTGTCAGAGTACACTGACAAAATTCTGTGCCCATTGTGTAGCTACCGTGAGTGCCTGCAGGTTGCCTTCAGAACCAGCCAAAGGGAAAGCCACCATTACAGATAAGCAGGTTGTGTGCAGATCCTGTAGCATACATACATTACCTGTCTGCACAAGATTCCCATGCATTTCCATATATTTGGAACAAATTAAGCAGGTTAGGTTTTAAATGGGGAAAAGTAGGTAAGAATCTCATGGCCCCAGTGACCTCTGTTGTCACAAGAAGTGTTTGTTATTGATCACTGAAGATTTTCCCATACTCTCCCGTAATTCCTTTGCCTTCTTAAAAGAATTCTTTTAGCAGAACTACAGATTTCATCATCATCCGTACCTGCAGACCCATGAACAGACTTCAGTAATACATCGTACAGAACAAGGGTTATTCCAGTGAAATTTACAATAAACCCAGTCTTTTCCTACCACAGGAAGGTTTTCATCCTTCACCAAATCTTAATAGACTTCAGCCTGAGACTATGGTTTTAGAGGGCATCAGTTGTATTTGGATTTCAGTGTGATGCAGGACTGCATTCAGTGGGAAAGGCACTGAGAGCATCTGGGGTCTTTGTGTTTCAAGCAGTAGAGGAAGCATGTCCGGGACAATGAAATGATGATGTTCCTTACAGACCTCCCTCAATACTCTTTTAAACAGAAAAAATGGCCCCACAGTCAGGATTCGCATCCTCTGCCACCTTGCCACAGGAGGATGAGGAAACCACCAAACACATGATGGCCAAGAGGGTAAAAATCATTGCAGAGCTCATGCAGACAGAGAGGGACTACATCAACGACCTGGATCTCTGCATCAAGGAAGTGATTCAGCCTCTGAGAAACAAGCAGGTAAGTTGCCAAGGGTGGAGAACCTGGGGGTGACGTCAAGATCTGAATTCACCTACGCTCTGTTTGCAGATAGTCTTAAAGCAAGCACAGAAGGGTTGCATGGTGCCTGAGCTGGCTTTCCAGAAGGCGGATGTGCCAGGACTGTAGTGAGGAAAGTGGGAAGTCAGGTACACTTCTGGTCCTTGTCATTGCAAGTGTGTAAAACCTTTGTGTTGAGGTGCTTGCCTGCTCCCAGGCTTAGCTTCCCCTATCCATTTTGCTGTGCACATTACTACTGGCACATGCCCCAGCAGACCTTTACTGGCACCTCTAAAAGCAGTAAAAAACAATAAGAAGAAATATTTTCCATGGCAACAGCCTGGAATGACATTAACCTTCTCATCAGGGTTAAGTTCCATCTTAAAAATTACTTTAACTAGCTTCTCTGATAACTGTGGTAGAGAGACACCATGCATGACAGACAGCCCAGTGAGCGCCTTGGAAATTTGCATTCCTCACAGAAAGGCTAAATTGAGGAAGGAAGGCTCATAAGCTATCTTACAGGCAAAAGATCTTATTAGGCCAATGATACTCTGTTTCCTTTTCAGCTGGGACTTCAAAGAGCACCTTTTCCTCAACAATATTTCAATTTCTAAAAAATAATAATAATAATAATAATAATAATAATAAAAAAAAATAAAAATAAAAATTACGCAGTCTCAAGCTGGGAATAGAAGAGCTTGTCCAGAGAAGGACTTAAATTCGTGGGGCTTGCAACACAGCGTTCACAGAAGCTGCACAAATGGTATCTGCTGCTAATACAGCGTAGAAGTGATTTTAAACAGACCATAAGCCTTTGTTCCGTACATATGATTCCAACAACTGCTCACAGAATAGGAGTATTGGAGATGAAGACACTGCCTCCTCAGGGAACTGTGGCCACTGAAGCCCATGTTGTTTAAAATCCTGCAGGACCATTCCTTTGTATTCTATAGCTGTCAGAATTTGTTCCAACCCATTTTCAGAAGAGCTGGCATCTGCTGCTTCAACTTCAAGCAGTTCTTGACTTCTTTCTCCTCTCAGTTGTTCATCTGCTTTGGAGTAGTCTCTGCTGGCTCCCAACAAGTACCCAGTGAGGGCACTCTGTGCTCAAACTTACTGAGATTTTTAACAAACATGCTGTATTCTTCTGCTCTTATCCAACCAATTGAAAACATATGTTTTGATTCTGTCCTTTGTCACCATGTTACCATATGTGTCTAGTCATGACACAGTTCCAAAAAGCAATGTAGGGATTGTGCTGCAGTGGAGATCAGAAGTCCAATGACAGATGAATACAGAGGAAAAGTAGAGATTATAACTATCCTAACATAATAACCCCTGCAATTTCTGAAAAGCTTTCAAAATACTGTATGAAGTCAACTTCTCAGAAAAACTACTATATTTGAAAGTTTGTAGTGTGTTTAAAGGATAACATTTAGAAAATTGACCTAGGAATGGATCCGTTTCATATTTCTAAATGGATAAAAAAAGTTTAAGCCCTATAATAATTATTTTAAAAATTAACTACGACAGAACTCAAAGTATGTTGCTGATTCGGCTACAGCAGCATGCAATTTGATCCTCTCAGCATCTGGAGAGCTGCTATGCAAGTAAGCAGTTCTGGTTCTAATGGAGTGGGATGTTCAGTGGGTACAGATATAGATGTTAAATCAGTCTTGTTTTTGTTCTCAGTGTTAACATGTCACCACTGGCTATCCCCTGTTATCCCTGAATATTAACTATCACACAGCTGCACAAGGGAGTATGTTGTATGAAAAGCACGTGTCCTGAACATTTTGTGTTTAATGTGAGTAAGGGAGACAATAAGATACCGAGGCAAGTTTTTTGCTGATGTAAATTGAATCAGTTCACTGAAGTCAGTGCTGTGCTCCTGGTCTCTGCCTTTGATTATATTAATACCCAGAATTTTAAAGCGTTAGTTTTAGTGGGAATTGTATGACCTTGATTGCACTCTTCAGATTTACAGGACAACTAACTTAAAATGGTACCATCATTCGAAAGCCTTTGTACCTCATGGCTGGCACTAAAGCACCAAGGTCCCAGTTCACATAACAGCTTCCATGAACAACTGGAAAACAAGGAATCAAATTCCCTGCCAACTATTCTTCTTCTCAATGGGAAAATCAACATTTTAAAGCCAGATAAATAACCTTTCTTCATTCAAATGATAATATAATTTCCTTCCTACATAAACACTTTCAGATTAGGAACCAGTAGTTCAAAATAGCATTAAAATCACTTGATAAAACGCCCTTTGTTAACTGTGTCAACCCAATTCTACTGATCTGAAAACTGTATGCATCCCAAAAGTCACAAGGAGGATGTTTATATTACATTTTGCAGTAATTATGCCTCCTGGAATGCTGAATACGAAAGCCTTATTAAGAGAAGGTCTGTAAAATACAATTAAAATACAATGTCCTTCTTTATCCTTCCTCAGTAGCTGCTTTATATTTGTATTCCATTAGATCGCCCGCTTTGATGTGGATGGCTTGTTTAGCAACATCGAATCGGTCCATCAGATATCAGCCAAGCTGCTGTCACTGCTGGAAGAAGCCACAACAGATGTGGAACCACCCATGCAAGTAATCGGTATGTTTACTGTCCTCTTGAGTTCTACAAAGCCACGTGAAAGAATAAACATAACATTTTCCTGTCCTATATCTTCATCACACTAAACCGGCACCACTCTCAGAGAGTAATGTGCTACAAGCTGTCCACAGTAATAAAGGAAAAAGGAGATGTGAAACCTGTCCAGTGGCTCTGCTGAGCTCATGTCAGGCTTGATCATGGTGCTTGCTCCTCTGGATGTTGAGGGGAAGGAGAAAGGGAGAGAGTGAGCTTATCATGAATGACAACTGCAACACATGAGTTACGCTATGATAACATCATTTTCATCTAGTTCAGTATTACCTACCTAACTGCTTATGCTTAAACCAACTTTTATATTGCATGTTCATACCTGTGCCACTTGAGAAATGCATTAAGATTTGTTAGAATATTAAAAATATCACAGAAAACCTACCCAAACATCATAAACATATTTACTGGCAATACAACTAATGTAAAAGGTGATTAACAGGGACATGGTCAGTAAAAGAAAGAAAGCAGTAATCAATATGGAGCTTTTGTGAATCTGTGTAGGAATGTCTGTAGGAATCATGAGTATTTTTAGCAAATAGGTTGCCCCAGGATATATCACAGCAATCATACACTCAGTAGCTCAAGCCATAAATGTTATGGCTGGAATCTATTCACTTGACATTCTGGCACAGGTGGAGAGATTTAAGAAGTTTCCATTCATCATCTCTTTTGTAATTGCTTATTCAGTGCAGAAGTGGTAGGTGATCCAGCTGAAGAAATCAAGTGAGAAATCACAATTTGCTGGAGTGCAAAGTTAGCAAGTTTAGTTTAAAAAACTTTCAGCTATGATTCAGAGGTCAGAAGGGTTATTTTTTCGCTATACTGACCATGTACCACAGGTAACTTGTTATAGAACCATCTTCTTGAAATACAACAGGGTAAAAAATTGTCAGTTACCCTTTGGCTAGGGAACACAACATTAAAGCTTGGGAAAAGGTATTAATCCTAGCATGTCTCAATCTGGTTTGCCAAGGCAACAGCTTAACGTAGTTTGATGAAACTGCGTTGTTTGGCAGTATTTCAATAAAAGTGCATCACGATGAGTCATACCCTTAATAAGCAATGTTCTATTCTAGCAGGAAGTGGCTTTCTCAACAGCAAGGAGAATCATTCTTTCAGTCTGCTGCCATATCCAGAAGTAAGGACAAATAATTGAATCAGTTTGGTATGGCGTATTTCTCCAGAATCAGACAAAGGACCATCAGAACGTATAGGATATTGGAACAGAAAGTTGGCTAAATTACGGCAGGGAAAAAGATGAAACATAAGATGAGAGCAATTCTTCTAAAGACTGAGCCTAAAGCAGGGACAATAATTCCGTCATTGTAAACAATAAGTTACTAAGTATTTCACCTTCAAACAAAGAAGGGATAGATAGTTGTGCCTTCAGAATCCTTCCTCATATTCATTGTAAAAGTTGTTAAAGCCAGTCTTTTTCTGTAGGATGTGAAAACATTTAGCACACCCATCATATCCTATTGTGTTTGTGCTATTTAAACAGCTTCCATTCACATATCTCCCTTTGGAAGGAAGCCTAGTCACAGTGAGTGTACAGATGCTATAGCTATGAAGTATACCAGAGAGCTTGGCTACATAGTTACTAAACCAAAGCAGAAAAGAAAGGGCACTTACCTGTATTCTGGGCTCACTTACAAAACTCCAGCAGAGCAGACCTCCAGAAAAGATTCTTCCCCACTGGTAGCCAGCTCTTAAATGGGTCTAGGAGGGGTGCAACCAGGCTCCATCCCTTCTGGCAGCACAGGTGAATTGCCTTCACCTGTGCTCCCATGGCTGACTCACTGCTCGCCTCAGGTGATCAATCAGAGGTTCAGGCTGTGATTCAGCAGTTCCCATGTAGTGAGGCTGAGGAGAACTGCTGTTTCACGAATTAGAAACCAAAATTATGTAGTTACTTGTATTGATGCCTAATTTTAGTCTCCACATCTTGGGCTATACTTACATTGACAAGTTGTAGTGCCCATAGATTCAGACTCGTATAACAGAACAGTTGGTGCTGAGGTCCTGGTATATACAAATTTCAAGATGTCTTATTTCAGATTAACTTTAGCCTATTCCTGTAGATCGAGAGGTACACTTCATGCTGTGCCCTAAGAGTATATCTTCTGGTAATTACCACTCAAAAGGATCCTGTCTATGTGTCTGTTAACTGTTTCTCCATACAGCCAAGTCATGGGAGATGAGGCACAGTGAGAGACTGGCTTTAAAAGCCCCCTCCTAATCTGTGCTAAAATGCTAATGTAGCTTTGGTGGTTGGTCTTCTGAAGCTAAAAGCAGTAGAAGACAAATGATCTTTCTAGTTCTCCCTTGTGTTTTTTCTCCTCTGTGATCTGGTTGCTGTACATAGAGGAATATGAAGACTTAGTAATTTTACTCTGCCTTTAAATATTGGGCCCTTTCTTCCTCCCTCTCCCACTGCTGTTCACACAGGAAGCATCACTGAAAGCTGTAAGGAGAAAGTGTTGCTGCCACTGAAGCCTTCCTCCTAAGGTTGCCTCTTCGAGACTATCTGACCACTACACTCAAGGAGAGGCAGATCAGGCAGATGTTGATCTGTCAGAATGCTCAAAATACTCATTATTTATAAACCTGTGACAAATATGATGCATTTTTGCTCCATAAAGCAAGTTATCTCAGTGATATGTTCAGTGCTCAACTGACTTGACTTATATATCCCAGAACCAAGAAGAAATTCAGGCTTAAGGACCCAAACTGCTTTTAAAAGATCCCATCCGTGAAATAAGCGCATAATTTTTCTCATTATTTTATCATAAATGAAAGTATCTATCATTATGGCACAATACACCAATGAATTCTCATCTTTTCCATTCTGCAGGAGAAAATGACTATTTCCAGGCTCCAGTATATGCTGAAGGGAAGCTAAGTGTATAGTTTGCATTTTTTTGCTGCAGAAAATATTATCTCTCTTAAGAGCTCCATGTACTATGGGCTGTGCTAAGCACTCTGCTTAAAGCGAAGTGTGGGAGTTCAGCATCTCTGCCAAGGGCACGGGATCAGGAGAAAGCTTGTTATGCTTGTTGGCTGAATAAGGCCCTGTATAGAGTTTACAGGGAAGTCAGAATGCAGTTGTGTGTTGTTAGCCATCAGCACTACATTTAGCACAAGACAGAGAAAACAGAGATGACAGCACCCAAAGAGGATGCAGCTTTAGGATGCAGGTGCTTTTCTGACTGTGGCCCTTACAGTAACTAAAACGAACTTCTGTGTTCTTAACTCGGTTGTTGTTGTTCCCTTCTTTGCACCTTGAAACCAACATGCATTAGACAGCCCAGTTAACCTTCTCTGCTAGGGAAGAAACCCAGAGCTGTGTTACTGTGGTAACTGAATCATTTTTCACTCTAAGACAGAGCAGTTCAATGCAATGTATTATGAAACAGCCGACTTCGGTCAGGATGAAAGCGGCAGGATGCCTGACAGCTTTGTGCTCACTCTGTGAATGAATAGAGCTCCCAATTAACGTGGTGCTCAGCTTTTAACTTTAATAATCATGGCTATAACTCAACAAGAGTGTTTATAAAACATCTGACTGGTTGCCACGTAGATGTAATTTTTCTGTAAATGCCTGAGACAGTAGTTTTCACCATCGCTATTGTTTATTACGTGCATTTCCAAGGATGCTGATCAGGATGCTGCTATATTAGGGTGTGAGAACTAATGAATATCTCAGCAGAAGAGATGAAGCGTGCTTTCTCTGCCTGGATAATACACAGAAAGCAGCACAGGAGTTACCAGCTGAGAGAAATGTGCATCAAACTTAGATGGGAAATGGGGGCAGGACTAATTCAATGCCTCTAAAATTCCCAACTGTTTTTCAGGAAAAACAATGCAACAAAGGATCAGAACTGTAAATACTTTTCCCTTTCATTCTGTACAGAAATGCCTGCAATCCACAGTGGTTTTAATTCATTAGAGGAAAAGGTGAAGATTATTCCTCTGTCATGTGAGGAAGATTCCCCATTCTAGGCCTTAACAACTGCCATTTCAGGATGCTGCAAAACAGATAAACATGAAATGGCTAATGGGAGATGGAGTCATTATTCCTGTTATAACCCATTTAAGTTCATAACCAGCTGAAAAAAAAAAGTCAAAAGGAAAATGAATATCCTTACACTTGTTTCTCCTGCCAGCCCAGAGGGCCAGCATAGTCTCTCCTTAGCAGCAGAGCTCTCCTGTTTGGTTCTCACTGCAGGAGTGTTAAGGTGTGGCAGTGAAGTAGGGGATTGTATATGCAGGGGTGCAGGTGTAGAGATTTTGTCCCTGTTCTCTGGGGAATTTTTGTGCATTAACACTGGTATAATGGTGCCTGGCTGTGACAAAGATGAGCAGCTGAGAAATACATGTAATAAATAATGCACGTAAACACACAAGATCATTTCTAAGGGAAGTGGAAAGCAGCCCTTTTAGCTCACAGCTAATGTGGTGGAATAATAAAACTCCTTCTGAGATGCTGTTGTCTGGCTTGACATGCTTTGTTTTTCTCTTTAACAGGGGAAGTGTTTTTGCAAATTAAAGGCCCACTAGAAGACACATATAAAATCTATTGCTATCGCCACGATGATGCACACACCTTGCTCGAATCCTATGAAAAGGATGAAGAACTGAAGCAGCATTTAAGACACTGTGTACAGTCCTTAAAGTAAGTTCTTTTCAAATGATGATTTCCGTCCATAGTCAGTTGCCTGGCAGGGAACATTTTAAATGGATGCAGATGAAAGGTCCCCTGTAAATCCAGAGTTTTATGAGGCTTGCTGGAAGCTCTGGCTTATGCTGCTTTCATGAAAAGATGACAAGCCAGGGGCCATGATTAGATTTCTTTCTCTCTAAGATGGCCAAAAATAGCACAAGAAAGGTTTCTCTTCCCTTAGCTTCAGTGCCCCATACTGGCAGAAGAAATGCTGCATCATATAATGGGCTGCTGGGAGCACCCTTGCCCAGCTCCTAGGAAACACACCGGCCCCATTTTCAGTGATTCTATTGCCTGGATTAAAATGGCACGCAGTGGAATCATTCACACATACTGGTGTTTCTGGACCCCCACTGTAAGGCCCCAGAGATCTGCAGCTATGCCCAACACCTCATGATGAGGATATTTGAAATTGGCCTATGTTGAAACAAGCTGTCAGGTTCCACCAGTGGAATTTCCTTCATGCCACTGCCTCCAGCACCATCCCCTGGGGGAAACGTACTGGGGATGCAGCAGAAAAATGGCTCTGTCTCTCCTCCAGCATGGCTTCTTCCCACATCCTGAGAACCAGTTCACTTTCTCTATGAGGAGCGCTTCTCTTCACTTGCGAGCTCCCTTATTCCCTCACTTTCTCAAAAATCTTGCACAGAGCTGTCAGGAGAGTGCATACCTTCAGACCATAGGTCTCCCTCCAGCTCCAGAAAAGGCTCGTGCTGCGCACTTCCACAAGGAATGCAAAGCTATCACAACTAATTAATGGAGTGTACATCAGCAACAGATATTTCAATTATACCCTAGCTAGTGATCAGTCAGCAGAGATGTGTTAGGAGATGGAAAGTATATGCCATTTCACGTATACTACGTTGTGCTTTTCTCCCTGTGGCTAGAAATAGCAGCCAGTTCAAATATTAAGACTTGAAAGTGCACACTCAAATGCACAGTTGTGGTCACCTAAACTTTTTACTTCTGATGAGAGAGCACTTGTCCTAGGAAGAAAATTATGTATGAATTTGACCAAATAAGTTACAGACTGTTTTATATTGCGAGATATAATATATGGGGGCCAGTGACTATTATTCTTCAAAGCTCTTTACTTCTTACATCTTTTCTTTTTTCCTTGGGAAGAATACTATTACACTGGGGGGAAAAAAAAAAAAAAAGAAAGAAAAAAGAGGTCTAGCAAGAGACTTCTGTTCCTCAGTTGAGTAATATCTGCCTTGTAAAAAACAACTTCTGTATTAAGATGAATTTGCAAGTAGCCCTCTGCACATCTGTACAAACAAATCAGATTTAATTAGCCATACTTAGATTCCTACGCCTCCTGTTGACTAAAGGGGAGAAATTCCATCCCAAAATGTAGGTGTCTGCATGGAGACATGTGCAAATCCAAATTATGTGGAAAGCCATGTTTCAGCAGTGATTATGCAAAACGGAAATGTTGTTTGCTAGCTTAGCCAAAGAAATGCAGCTGGTAAAAATGAAAGGATGCTGGCAACTACCTGCTGTGCTTTCAGTCTGAAGTATCTTGGTCAACTATTACGGGGGCAGAGGGACGTCAGAAGTACTCAAAGAGCTGATGGTGCTGAAGCATTGAAAACACCAGCTTCCAGATGCTCCTTTGGCTGCTGATAGGCAAGGAGATGAAAGTGCAGGTGGTCAGAAAGCAGTGGCTGATTACATGATGTCAGCACTCAATACCAGAAGAGTCTCATGCAGAGGTGGAGGGACATTGTCATTCCACAGAATCAGAGAATCACAGAATGGCCAGGGTTGGAAGAGACCTCAGGATCATGAATCTCCAATCCCCCTGCCACGTGCAGGGCCACCAACCTCCCCATTTGATGCTAGTTCTCTTGCATTTGGGTGAAGTTCTCCAAGTTTAATTGTAGCATGAGGAAAATATTCTGTGTGCATGTTTGCATGTTTCCAAAAAACAACAGTACATCTCTGCTGCTTTCTGTATGCATATCAACAGTATCCTACTCTGATGAGGTTTCAGTTGATAAATAGCCTCTCAAAAGTTGAACAACTTAATTGATTCTCTATCCTAAAAGTCTACAATATATTCTTTTTCACACAAAAATAACGTAGGAATGACATTCAATTTTGCTCTTTGTGCCAAGGATTTGATGTTGCTAGCACAGTGACTCAAGCTGTCTTCTCTAACAGAGTTAGGAGAAGGCTGGGCAAAATCCAGGTTCCTGACAATCCTTTCTCATTTGGGGCTGTCCTTTCAAAAAGATGTAGGGCCAGATTCATTGGTACCCTCTGGCTGTTTTGTGCAGTTCTGCTGACACACAGCAGCCATAAACCTAAGTTAACTGGCCAGTTACAGCTGCTCTGTGTCACCAAAGTGTATCTGAGAATCTGGCCCATGATCTATATAAGTCCTTTTAGGAGGAACTAATATATATTTTTGTTCCTTTTCTTTTGCAGAAAGATGTATGAGGAAGAGTAAGTACTACGTCTTTTTCATGTGTAAAATAATCTTTTAATTATCTTTCATTTATCTTAAGTACGCTTAAAACTGTACATGTGGAAATTTTAAGAACACTAAGCAATATCTGTAGAATGCATAGACTTCTCCAGGACATATGTGACAAAACACTCTCAGTTTTAATTTCTCTAAGCCTGTCTGGTTCTCTAATTACTAACTGCACTGGTTTTGCAATGTCTTTCAACACTTGTGGTTTATGAAGCTACTTAATTTGGATGCCAATTCATTCAGAGCCCTTTACTACCACCTCATTGTCTAATAAATGTGCTTAGAGAGCTCTGAGCTCCTCAGCAGTGCTTGTCAACAGTGCAGTGTCAAATCTGAAAATCCAGGCACTCTTCAATTGCTGTGCATTATGTATCTGTAGGCCTGCTCAGTACACACCAGGCTGATAGGTAAAGCTATTTCTAAGGTAAGGACACTTTTGGTAGCCCTAAATATATGAGAAATCCATCTTTCTGAGGAGCTTCCCTCTGACAATGGCTGTAGGAACATCAGAAAAGAACAAATGTCTGGCAACAGCTTGCCAGAATACTCACCCAGCCTCGGATACCTGATATTTTTGAAAAGCTTTAAGGGAGAGTTTATCAGGGCTGTGGTTTTGGACATCCAGCAGGTCTGGATCCTTGAATACAAAATGAAATCCTAAATTTACCTGCAGGAAGGGGTAAGAGAAGAGATTAGCTGAACCAAAGAAAATGATTACAACTCAGACAGAAATGTTAAGAGAAAAGAGAAGCAGGTGTGCTTTATGTGGATAGAAGAGAAACATCTGTAAAATCAGAGAATTAGTCAGTTGGACATCATAAATAAGGTCCATGTAAAATAGCTTTCAAAGGATTTACGTGTTGAAATCCTAGGTTGGGGTTTTCAAGGTTTATTTGGTGATTGAAAGCACTTAATTTGCATTGGTTTTGATAAAGAAGATTCTATACTCCTTTTGAAAAAGGGATAGATGTCCTAGGAGGAACACCAAATACCCGGAGTAACAGTAAGATAACATGAGAGAGCAGTGTGTGTAGAAATAACATAAGACTGGCTGCTCTGCCTTGCACTACCCCCCCAGAAGTTAATGCCCAGCTTTCTCCTTTAGTTTACAGTGGACTGTGGGATACAGCACACTTCTTGAGCTGAAACTAGCTCTTATAAAGCTGCACAAGGAATGAAGTTCACTCAAGAACCCTCCCCGTGCTTGGCTACCTTGCATGACTTGGTGGCATTTGTGTTCACCCTGCAGGCACACAGGCAGGGCATGCCGAAATGCCATCTCTTGCACTTCAGATGTTGTGGAGTCAAAGCAAAACGTGGGCAGAACTGCACCTGAAAGTCTGCACAGTCTGCTCTGTGTTCGAGTTGGAAAGCATGGCATAACTCCCCTCAATCTCCCAGGTTGCTTTTCATTCAAGTGTGATCATTCATTCAAGAAAACAATTATACACATATCAGACAAAGCTGCTTATTGCTATCAACTACACTGGTTGGATTCTGCTTAGATTAACAACTATGCAGCCTCAGTGAAATCCCTGGGTTTGCATGAGAGCCTTACAGCACAGCGAATTATTTGCCTGCCTGTTTTGTGCTAATATGAGCTCACACATAGTAAATTGTAAAACTCAAGTCTTTGAGATGTGCTGCAGCCTGTGATGCGTGCACACAATTTCAGAGCTGCCAAGCTGAACACAACACCATCCTCAGCCCTGCGATACCAAACTGGCAGTCACATTCACCACAGGACTTACCTGCTAGACAGCAAAAGTGTGAAATTAAACCCTGAGTTCCCTCTCTTTGCACAGCTCACCACCATGTATTTTTTAAACTGGTGGGAGTCCTTCTGCATCTGTCTTGCTTTGTTGTAAGGAGGTAGGCAGGGTATGCCACGAAGCTCACTGCAGCTAAGTCAGCTGCATGCTCCGCAGAGCTACACTGAGAATCTGCGATGAGATTAGTGCAGCTACTTACAACCTAGAATACTTGCTAAATTCATGATAAAGTGGGGAGAGGCAGAAGCAGCACTGCAAACGAATTATCAACTTAATTCTCTGCACAATGGCTGTCACAAGTCTGTTTTAGTCGCGTGGCGGGGCCACGTCCTGCCTGGCTGCCGAGTGCATGCTCGCTGGGCCCACTGGAAATGGGACTCATCCAGGGAGAGTGGAGATCAGCAGATAATCTCGCTGGGGAGAATTAGAGGAGTTGAACTTTGTGGCATTCAGGGCCCCAGGGAGTCATTATCTTACAACAAACCTACTATCTCTCAAACCATATTGCTAGACTGTGTCATGCAGATATGTGAACAGAGGGCTGTTTATCGCTTGGGCAGCTGTCCAAAGTGCAACTATATAAAGAGAAGATACTTGAAGATTTTTCCATTCATGAGGCAGCTTCTACAGATTTGCATTCAAGGGGCTTTTTGGAGAAAACAATAACAATTTAAGATTTTTTTCATTATTGCTGCCAGAAGCTGAAAGAAGGGAAAATAGCTCTACATATTTAATGTAGGATGCGGGGGAAATGAGGGGGATTGAAATGATAAGAAGGTTTGGGGACATCAAGAAGCTTTAAAAGGCATCTACTGTTAATTTTTTTCATGCAGAACTTTTCGCAGATAATGTCTGTGCAAGAGAGATGGTTTAAATATGCAGATGTCTCTTCTCAAAGGCATTCAAATTGTTAGTTAATTAGTCAGCAGTAAGGACTGGTTGGTGTACTTTTCATACATATAAAAGTGGGAATGAAAGCCTTTTTTTCCCTTCTTCTGCTCTTCCTGCTCACGAAACAATAGATGTCAGCCTGCAAATCTGAGTGGATGTTCTCTGCTTTTTGTACTTCCCTTCTATGTTTTATTATTCTGCCTTTCCTCATTCAGAAATCCTTCTTTGCCTAGCATTAGCTTTTCCACAGTTATTGTCAGATCAGCTCCTTCCCTCCAAGACAGCCTTTTTGGGCATGCAGATGGAAGCACTGCTCTGCTCTAGTGCCTCACACCATCCCCACCAGCTCGCTCACAGTTCCAAGGGGCACCTGTGAGTCTGGGGTAGTTCACAGGAGCGCTGGTGATGCTGCAGCATTCCCAGGTTTGCTCAGCAGAATGCTAGCATGAGGAGAGACAAGGACTCCTCTGTCCTGCTGTCAAAGCCTCAGTAGTGTGACGTCACCTCCTGGAAGCCAGCACAGAAAAACAGCAGGTAAAGAATGGCAAAGCTTACACTAGCAAACTGAAAGGTGTTGCAAGAAGGGATGCAGCAGTGAGCAGGCATCTCAGTTACTTCACAATGTGGAGATGTTGCAATTTTAAGGCTTAGGGGCCAGAGCAGGATGTAGTAGCCCCACTTCTTGTATTTCTCAATCTTCCTGTTATTTGCTCTTCCACCTACATCTCCCTTCTTGGGTGCTGTGCAAGTTGCACCATACACACCCCTCAGACTGAGTGGGCCAGTTTCACAGCCGATGTCTAAGCAATATGGCAAATTGCTGAAAATACAGAAAACTCAGACCTGGTGTGTATTTCTCATTGAGGGGGCAGGAGGATGGTTTCATTTGCAACAGCCCGTGTTTCCTGACAGATGTATCTTATTTTTCGACTTAAGTGGTGATTGCATATCTATGACTCAGTGCAAAGCACTGCTCTGGTTTTGATATTTTCTGTAGTTGAAAGCTCAACTGAAGGATATAAAAGGCAGCAGCTTCAATGACTAGACAGAAATAGAAGAAGTTTTTGTCTTCAAGGAGTTTCTCCTTATTTGACTTTTCCTTGGTATAAATTATAGAGGAAAGCCAAATCTAATGGACATGGGATCCCTGATGATCAAGCCAGTACAGCGGGTAATGAAATATCCCTTGTTACTCCATGAACTGTTGAATTCAACTCCTGCTTCTCACCCTGACCACAAAGCACTACAAGAGGCCCTTTCTGCTATGAAAAATATTAATGTGAACATCAATGAACTCAAAAGGAGGAAAGATTTAGGTAAGGAAAAAAAAACAGTGAATTTTTCTGTCAGTTTGGGCTGGCAGTTACAAGAGAGGTTTCCACTCCAGTCATAATGCCACATCAGTTTTCGTTGGTGTTACTTAAGTTGTGCAATACACTGGGTTTCAGCAAAATAAAAGATGCCTTAATGTCACTTGTCCTCAGCCAGCTGTGTTACCTGCCAAAGGATGCAGATTCCCCGAACGTGAAAATGATAAAAGGATACATGTCATACCCATGTTCATCATCAGTAATGCAGCTGCAAACACTAATAATAATTAAGATGCAGTGATAGTGCTGTTTCTTACAGACTTGCCACATTGAAGTCTTGCTTCAATATTCTCAAGGCTAGCATTGATAACGGGGTTTTCATGATCTCAAGCATTTTGACACAAGATTACAGCAAGTGACATCAAAGTGTCTGGTCTCAAACGGTTTTGTATTTGTGCCCCCATTCCCATGAAAAGCCCCAAGGATACAGATTATTAGTGTCATGAAATTCTCTGTCTGCAGTGCTGAAGTATAAGAGGAATGATGATGATGAAACCCTGAAAGAAAAGTTTTCTCGACTGAATATTCACTCCATTAGCAAGAAATCCAAGAGGGTCACCAGCCATCTGAAAATACTGACAGGGGGAGAACCTCAGGTACTTAACTCACCCAACTGCAGATTTGCATTGACAGCTTCAGTGCTGCTTTTGCACAGGCGTTTCTAAAAACATTTTAGAAAAACAGTTTGTGGTGTCGCTTTTTTCCTGCATCATTTATAAAGTCATTTTCTGAGTGTCACATAAGACAGGAAAGATCTCTGTGATTGAAATAGAAAACAAGATAATGTATTCTTTATCCTTTCCTCTTTTATCTAAGAGTTTCTCAAGCTTGTGATCTTCAGCAGAGAGGAAGTGACCAGTATTTTTGTGAAAGTCAGCTTCAGCTCTTTGTGGTTGGACTGGCAATAGTTACTGTGAATACATTCTGGGTGTCTTACTCTCCATCCCAACCTTCACATTCTGAGTCCTCTAAAGAAGATGACTAATAGTCCCAATTAGTGAAGATCATAGGGTTTTGCCTCTACATGCCTAAGAACCTGTAAACATCAAAACTACCAGAGGCAAAGAACTCTGTGATAAATCCAGTGAGTGCTAGGTGGGCAAAACCAAAATGCTCCTTCATAATTCCAATGCTGTAATTCAAACTACCAGGATAAACATTTTCAGAGAAGCTGCAATCTGAATCTGAAAGAAAATCAATTATAACTGACCTTGAAAATGATACATCTCTACACAAGCCTACTGGTTATACAAGGTCATTTGCCTTTCTAGATGTGACTTTACAAGATCGGTGCCATTTTTTCCTGTTTTGTTGTTTACCAGTTGGTTTCCCCCCTTTCTCTGACGCAAACTACCCACATTTACTTTTTTTTTCCTGCTCATTTATTTGCACAGTGGAAATTTCTGTATTTTTGCTGGTTTTCCCACAAAACCCCATGACAGACTGGAACACTGTCAACACTACAAATTCAGAGAAATGTAGAATTAAATGGGATTAAGAGGAAGGGTGATTTTTTTTTTTTTTTTTTTTAAAAAAAAAGGTTCATTTTCTGTTTTTTTTTTTTTTTTAATTGAGCTTAAAATATTTGAGAATCATCTTAGAGTCAAGATGTATGTTATAGATTCAGCCCTCTTTCTTGCTTAATTAAAGAAAGTTTTCAATTCACATCTCTGAAACATGCTGTGACCCTTACAGCAAAACCCCAGAAAAACAGGCTTGAGATTTCTCAAATTCCTTAACTAAAAGGTAGGCAGAAATAAGTGTATTTTCAGGGTTTCTATAGACAGCATTAAAAAAGTAAAAGCAGCCCGTTTCCAGCTGGTGAGGTTACAAGCTGGAGAGCTGACGTTGCTCTAGAGGTAACAGCTCCACCTACAGCCTGCCTGGGAGAAATCTCTCTATTACACACATGAGCAGCAAAGGAAATAATGCCATGATGTAAAAGGATACCATATTTTATGTCATATTTTCACCATCGTTTCCCAAATGCAGCAAATACACATATATATATATAAAAAATATATTTATGTTTATTCATGTGGATGTGCTTATAATAAAGCAATGCCTTGCTTCCACAAGGTTTTGCAGAACTTAAAATCTCTGTCATGCTATCCAGTGCCTTCGACTTCTCTTGGACTGAGATCAGAGTTTGGGAGAACTAGGGACCAATCTGTTCTGTTTTCAAAGGGAGGAGTTTAGAGAAGGCTTGAGGTTTTTCCAGCAGAGCTCTAGAGATTTCTTTCATTAGTCAGACTCCAAAATAACTGAAAACATCTGATTTAGGTGAAAGATCAGACATTCAATAAGGAAGAAAAGTTGTTTCGAAGCTTAGAGAAGACTGTGAAATCATGTGTGAAGAACATTTCATTATCCTTACAGCATCTACAGGTGGGTACATGGTTTTATGCAATCTGGGGCACAACTTTTTTCAGTGGAACATTAACAACTTTATCCTTTAACAGTTTACACTGAAAATAGGTAAGACACAGGAAAATATTTTCACAGTAAACAACCCCCAAATGGCTGGAAACTGCACAGAAAAAAGCAAATAGGTATGAGAGATGGAAAATATTTCTGATTCCATCAATATTATTGCAGTATCTGCATGAGCGAGTGCAGCACATTAAATAAATCATAACCCATTTTCATCTTCCTACCATCTCCTCATTTAGGATTCCATACATCTGGCTGCACAGAACATAACTGGGCTTCAGGAAATCTTGCAAGACAAAGATGACGAAGCTAACAAAAACTCAAAGAAAATGAACAACCCTACAAATGTCTGTGAAGACCTTGTAAGTTTATGCAATGTCCAGCATTACATAGATAACAGTGTGACTGAGAGAACGCACGTATGAGAGGAAGACTCAGGGCAAGAAGGAGCAAAAAACCCTTAGGAATCCACTGGGAAAGATGAGTGTTTCCTTGGTGTAAGTTGCTATAGGAAATTAGAAAATTTAGTCCAAGTAAAATGTATTTTCCCTAAAAAAATAAAGAAAACTTTGTAAGTTCCTAGGATTAAACTAAAATCATTGCTCTAAGTTTGCATGCTTCTGCTGAGCTTTAGACAGGAGCAGCAGATCTATGTTTTTTCTAGTTTCCTTACCAATATTCACAGTCTTACAGTGACTTTTTTCTTTTCTTTTTTTTTTTTTAATCTTTGCTGTATAGTCCTGATCTATTAGTTCCTGGGATCATAGATCCATGGAAATCTCAGCTATTATCACCCTTCCAAGCAACTTACTGTCCTTAGTATAGGGAAAATGTGAACAACCTGGATGTAGCCTATAATGGTTAAAAAACAGTAACCCAACTCTGAAAAACTTTAAGTTTTTCAACCAGTCTCTCACTTTCAGGGTCCAAAGGAACTCTAATATCTGACTCTACTAAGATAGACTAAAACGTCTCTTCAAAATGGGCCAGGCTGCTGCTTCAAACAGTTCAACCTGGTGGTTGTTCATTCAGAGGTGGAGGTTTTCTTATGCTTTCCTCAGTCTGGTGACAGGAAGTGAGATGGTGTAATTTCCTTTTCTTTGTAGTTCCAGAATTTACAAAGAAACTGGAAATTTAATCTTAATAATCAGAAATATCTTTTCAATAACTTTAAAATGAATGACTACATTAGGGGAGGAAAAGGGACCCCTCTCTCACATCGAATGATGACTGTGCAGTATGGAAGACATCCTTCCCCACCCCACTTCCAGAACCAGCAAAGCAGCAGAAGAAAATCCACAGCAGGTGAAACATAAAACCATTTTTCAGGAAGACACTTTGTAACTCCCACTGCCTCAGGACCCATCTGGCCTGAAGTCCCACATAATTTTAAAAAACATCTGAACATTATTTAACTGTGGAAATTTTTAATAACTATGTTTACTTATTTTCTACTTCTTTGTCTTACATTTCATACAGTCTTTATCCTATATATATATCTTAAAAAACCAACAATGTTGTCCTTACTTTGTATGGTGAGCAGATGTTTACACGTCCTTCTGTGTGTGTGTTATCAATGGAGATCTCAGCAATAGGCTCACGTTAATTTTTTTTTTTTTTTTCCCTTTCTGCATTTGTCAGTAATGGATATTTTCCTCCCTTGTGTTTTAGGGAAAACTTTAGGGCAGAAATCCACGGTAGCCCCTTCACTTCTGGAAATCAAGAACAGCAGTTTGGAAAAAGCTTTTTTTTTTTGAAACACATCAAAAACTGCTTCACTAAACACAGCCTAGTTTTTCAAGTGGAAATAAGACAAGCACAGCATCTTGGCCTTGGGTCCTGGTCCTAAAACAGATGTGCCCTCAACCATGGCGTGCTATGGAGGGGAAGAGGGATGGCTGCACTTTTATTCCCACGCTTGATCCAACAAGCTATTTCACATAGAACATCCAAGGGCTTTAACTTGATGATGAGGTTTACTCATCAAAAGTCTGTGCTATATTACAACGTGTGACTATCAAAAATATATTTTTTTTAGTGCAATGTTAATGCTTTGAGACGATTAGAGGCTAATAGGAATGTCTAAGAAGGATTTTTTTTAAAATCAGCGTCTGTGTTTGCTTAAACAGGAATTGATTTACTGCTATTTATTTTATTTGGCTGAATTCTCAGTTTTACTTGAGTGCAGCACCACAAGGCACTGAAAAGCACATTCACCTACTCTTCAGTTTCAGTCCTCATGGTTATCCTTCACTGATCCTTGCCTTGGTCTTTCCTCCATGGTATCACAAAGGACAGTAACATATGCTATGGGCTCCAGGGGGCCATTTCCATTATCAGACACCATAAGCTGCAAATCTGTTACCTCCTCCTTTGCAACATTACGAAAGATTTCTAACTTATGCTATACCCTGTACTGTGAAGCTGCCCCTGACAGCAATACTTTGGGAAGGGTCAATAACAGATTGCTTGATGGGCTGCAATGAGGCTGAACCTGAAGTCTGAAGAGTTGCGAGAAAGAAGTAACATGTGGGACTGTTTTATATCTTTCCAGATGGCTCAGCTAGACAAGGTTGTTTTGACTCCTCTCTCAGCACTACAAGCCTTGTTTTCAGGCCCACAGAAGCTCATCCAGAAGCGCTATGACAAACTGTTGGACTACAACAGCTACCTCCAGAGGTCAACAGGAGAAGAGCTTGATCTAGCAAAGAAAGACTATGAGGCTTTAAATGCACAGCTAGTGGAAGAACTTCAGGTATTCAACAGAGCAGCCAAAAAGATTGTGTTGAACTGTCTGTATTGCTTCATTACCCTCCTCAGAAGTATTATGTCTGCAGCACTTCAATCAAATTCTGCTGTGGTGGTGCCTGTTCCAGTAAGTACATTATAAATAGGCATAAGCCCTATTTATCTCTCTTTCTTTCTTTCTGTATGCATTGGGTAGGATGTGTAGGACACGTGCCTAAAAGCTACTGCGATTTTGATTGTTTTGGTGAGCACAGTCAATTTTTTTTTTCTTCTTTGCAAGCGTAGCAAAGGTTAAGTTCTCAGCTTGAGTTTTGTCAGTCTTGGACCTTTTATTGAGAGTGACCATAACGCAGCTGCTCCAGTAATATCAGTGGAGAGACAATAGGGCAAAATGGAGGCAGTTCTTAGTATTTTAGCCTTGGTTTCTTTAGGTCGGCCCTGAACAGCCTAGAAGACACGGTAAGAGAAATTCTAAGAAAGTGCATGAACTCTCCTGCTAGTGTTAGAGCTGCAGTCACACAGAAACCTGTAGGCATAAGGATGAGAAGATCTGATGAAATAATTTATATGAAAAACAAGTTGCTTTTAAATCTAGATATGCTGCAGAAGCTCCTGCACAGCAGGACAAGTCAATAAAGTATAGTTCTATCTGTGTTGGCAGTTTTAGAAAGTTAAAGTAATTTCTCTTACGTAATCACAGCCAACAAGGATGCCTATTTGAGCTAACATAAGAGCATCAGTTCTTCCAGCCTACTCAACTCTTTCTATGCACTGTAAACATTACCTCAAGATTATGGAAGTATTATTAATTTGTGTGAAAATTACACAAAGTTCACTCCGCTGGAGGACTCGCAACCTAAGAAACAAAGCTATGACAATACCTCCAAATCCACTCACCTGAACCAGAGGCATGTTTAGGCAACTGTGTTTGGACAAAACACTGCATAAGAAACACGTTGCAGTGAGGCCCTTCTGGAGTATCCCATTCCACCAAGAGCTGACTTTAGAGGCAGAAAAGGGCTGAAAAATTGAGAAAAGATCAGGATCAAAACAGAGCTGCACTGTTCAAACAGAATATAAAGGTTTTTCTGCATGAAGAAATCTGATCCCTATAATTTGACCATTAAGTATTTTGGAATATGCTCTGTCAAGCGTCAAGCATTGTTTTCTATGATGCTTTTCCTAAAAAATTCTTTGCGCCCCCCCCCCCCCTTTTTTTTCCTGTTTACATCAGCAAACATATTTGGAGTTAGGCACATACCAAAAGCACTCACCCAGTGCCTCAGACAGAGTGCCAGCTTATCCATGTGTCTTTAACACATCAGCACAGTTTCACAGAAACACAGCTGTGGGTTAAGCCTTGCAGCACATGGGCCACTCTGATGTACATTTGCATCTGAAAGCAGGTGGCTCAGTACCATAAATGCAAAGCTGCTCATTTACATTTTTGTTGCTGTTTAGAATTTTTTTAATGATTCAACTTAAATCAGTATGCCTTGTAAATCTAACAGCAATCATTAGTTACTTTTCTTAAACAGATCTTTCTTTTGTCTTGTGCCTAGCACACTATAGGCTCTGCAGGAAACAGCCATACCTTGTCAGATTTCTGACGCCTAGTGTTGAGCCCATTAAGCCAAATATGCTGTCTCAAATCTCGTTACCATTTTGTTCATGAGATCTAACCTACCTTTTTGTTTACAGCTGTCTTCCTCAAGCATCTGTGAAGTGCAGCATCAGTTAATGGAGGAGGTTCACAAGCTGAATTTTGTAAAAGAAAACAGCAGTGCAACCTTCATTGAAAGAAAACTGAGCTTGGAAAAAAAGAAACCTGTCCCATCTCCAGTGAGTATCGTACATCTGAGTCCTTTAAAGAATCCTTTTCTGATCACTTTTGAAACAAATCCATGTTTATATCATTCAGAGATCTGGCTTTTGTCCCTTCACTGGGAATCTGAATTGTGTTATGTGAATGAAGCTGTTCCATTGGCCGGTAACTTTTTAAGACTCTTCACACTCGTGTTGTTATCTTGGAAATCCACTTGAGATCACCTCTGATTATCCTTAGATCTCTGTGCACATCTTAAGGCTGTATATGTAAAATTGGATTGCTTCTCTTGTTAAGAACTCTTGCAGCATGTCTTACTTTTATTCAGAACTTCTCATCCGGCTTTTCTATGTGTATTTGTATGTATACACAAATTAACACACATACCCCAGAACAGAAGATTCATAAAGTCCACTAAGGGATCCACGTCTGTAGTTCCTAATCTTATCAGACATTTACAGAGCATTCAAAGGGTCTACTTAACCCTACCACACAAAGTCAGATTTCAGTAGAAGCCAAGGAAGCTGCAGGATTCATTTTTGCATCAGAGAGGCAGGAACATGTGCTCTTTCTCTCAGTGTGTTAAAGTCACAGGGACGTACAGCCCCTCTCTTTTGGCCCTCTAACCAAACACGCTTCCAGCAGTTCATAGCACCTTGCCATATACAGCATGGGAATTTTGTACAAAAAGCAGACTATTCTGTTTCTACTCATTTTCTGCTCCAGTGCTTTGCTGTGCAAGTTGCTACATAACCTTAGCACACCTCTGATAATTTTTGATTACACTTTTTGCAACTTCACAGAGGAATTCAAAGATCACAGTTCTGTAAAAACAGTTAAAGCAGTGACATTTCACATACAGAACACAGGCTCATGAGAACAGAGTACTGGCTAAGAAGTACTTAATTAGTTATACTCCTATATATCTTTCGAGATCTGCCTGTTATCGGTCAGCTATCACCATAGCAGTTGGACAGACCCCTTCTGCACATGCAAAGGGCATTTGGTTACATACAGCTGTGTAACTCCTTTATCTGGATGTAGAAGTGTAGTCAGTTGCCACATGCAGAATGTACGCTGGTTTTTATGCATCTGTGCTGCTCAACAAGCAGCCTCGACATTATTCCTACTGAACAATTTTTGTAGTCTTTTCAGCTCGAATCCCCACGTCAAACAGAAGACCACAGGTCCAAGCTGCTGTCTACGTACAGCGCAGAACTGCTGTATCAAGCTAAGCGCAAGTGCAATGCCACGCAGGAATTTGATATTGATCTGCATGAAGGAGAAGTGGTGGCTGTTGTGGAGCAAAAGGATCCCTTCCAAAGTACTAGCAGATGGCTCGTTGACACAGGAAGTAAGTTCTCTGCACAAACATCCCAATAACAGCCTCCTATTGATTTCTTTTCATTCTGGCCCCATCTGTCTGCTTATGTTGTACTGACAGCTGCATAAAATGGTTTAACAGCATTTTTTTTTTTTTTTTTTTTTTTTAAATTTTCTGTCTTTTTACTGTGATATCCAGTCCTCAAGGGATATGTATATTCCTCCTTCCTGAAGCCTTTCAATCCAGCCAAAGCGCAGAAGGACATAGCAGATAGCAACTTGTGTGATGATGATTTTGATAACATCAGCCTCTTTGTCTCTTCACGGCCATCCTCTGACAGCAGCTCAAGTTCAGGGCACAAGAAGAGTGACAGCAACTCATCTCTTCACCCCTGTAAAAATCCCACAACTAATAGCACAGAGGCTGGAGATTCTCAGGATGTGGATGATCAGCATGTAAGTAGGATACCTGCTGAGCCCTTCTTATTTTTCTCATCTCAAATCCACCGTTATAATGGCTGTAATTTAAATAGTTCCTTTTGCACTGGAAAATTCTTGTACTAATCTGTCAGAATGACATGGGGAATTTGCTATCCTCTGTCCTTTGGCTTTTTTAAATAGCTACAAAGCAGTAAAAGATAATCAGTTCAACTGCAAATCTCAATCTTGTCTCACAGAAAACACATCTTCACATTATACCACTACATGTACAATGTCTCACAGTTCTCATTTGAGCTGCTTGGGGATTTTTCCACTTACCTTTAACAAGACAGTGTAGCAAAGATGATCAGCAAGGCACAGAGGTGTCTGAAATTTTTACCATCTTCAGACCAGATCACTGCAGATAGGATCTCTGGCAGCTGAGAAGACGATTTGAGAGATCCATCCTAACAGCTGCCATATTTAAGAGTAAGAGATTTAGACGAGGTCTTTCTCTCCTTTGAAACCTTGTAAATTCTCCAGCCAATGCAAGGCTGCATGATCTGAGCTGAAAACTTTAGCACAGTGCTCTCCTGATGAGCTTATTTTGTTCCTTCCTACGCAGAATTCCTAAGACCCTTCAGTTTTACTTATTACTTTGGCCCTGTTCTTCGTATACTGTAAGCAATTACAGACCATGCAGTTACAAGTAATTACAGACCATATATATACATGTTATTAGACACATTGTACATACAGAACTTGTACTAACATGCAATGGCCAGCTAAGACGTGGCACATTTCTGAATTCAGATTTTGCATTTTGTGGCTTTCCTTTTTCAGACCTTCTATGCTGTTTATGCATTTCAAGCAAGAAGTGATCAAGAACTCAGTCTTCAGGAGTATCAGAAGGTTAGGATACTTCGGTTTTCTGACCTGAGTGGCAATAAAGAATGGTGGCTAGCAGAAGCCAAAGGTCAGAAAGGATATGTACCATCTAATTTTCTCGGAAAGATGACATATGCTTAGGAACCCAAAAGGTCCATTCAGCCAGTTTCTATGAAGCAGACAATGATAATCTACAATGGTTTGCAGAAAGCAAGGCAAACTCACAAGTGACTGACAGAAGCCACGGCACCTGGTGCAGCACACACATGATACTGAGGACCTCTGGTTTCCAAAAGCCATCACCTTGTCAAGACCTCAGGGAAGAAGCATTTAACAGGAAGACCAATTCTGCTTACCACCCCAAAGGGCTTGCTTTTCCCTATTACCCCATAATTTTCACTTCTATCAAAATGTCCTACATCCAAATTCAACCTACAAATACACTTCACAGCAGAAGTGATGTTCCCCCCCCCAATATTCCACAAATAATATTCAAGATGAAGGCAGCCAGCCTTGAAAAAAGACAAATTCAGCCTTCAGGGATTTTGCAGCTCAGACTGAATTGTTCTTAAATCTCTACCTTGATGAACACAACCACATCTCCAAACTCAAGCTTTTGGGTTATCTATTTTTATCTCCAGCCACTTTTGTAAAGAATCTTTTTCTCAGTGGTGAATAGAGTGGGAAAAGAAAAAGAAAAAGGCTTCCTTTTTTTTTTTTTTTTTTTTTTTTAAGAAGCATTCCAGTTTAAGCCATACTGATGCAGTTGGTATCAGCAGCTGAACTCAGAGATGAAAGTATGTTTAGTTACATGTAGAAATGGAATGAGGAAAAAAAAGGGAAGAAGAAACAAGTAACATGAAATAAAGGTTATCTTCAAGAAAATAAATTTCATAGCTACTTTGTAAGGTAAGAAACAGTCTGCAGCAAGACGAATCTGCCTCAGGTTTAAAATGACTTTTCTATACACTAGCTGCTTTTTAGTGTAAGATCCATGTAGCGAAACAATTTGTGTCACTAGATTTAGGAAATTCATTAAGATTTGGAAAAACGGTCAAGCAGTGCCATTCCAAGAATATTTACTGCCTATCTGATTCTTTAGGTCAGACACAGAGATCATACTATCAAGGGAATACACTAAGATTTAAGATGTATCAACATTTATCTTCCCAAAAAGAAAAAAATAAATCATTCTCATACTGAAAGCATCTTAACATTGAACAGTGAAGAAAATACTGATGAGCTGATCTGCTGTTTGCAAAACTTGGAATTAAAAGCCCTATATCTGGCTGAAGTATCTTAACAGCAGTCAGGGTTATTTTAAGAAGATAAAATAGTTTACATCATACCCTCAGCAAGCATGGAAAACTAAAAAATCCCAAGGAAAGATGTGTTTTTCAAGCAGTACTTCTTGAGTTTCCCTGAATGCAGTGACCCTTACTGAGCTTAGGCTGGTGGGCAGTCTAACAATACATCTTTACTACTACCATTGATAACTGTGCGTTTATAAAAATTTATTACAGGACAGAAATGCCTTGGTCCTCTAGCAATGAGTGAGGACCTTCTTACATTAAGTACTGCAAAAACAAAACAGATCAACAACCTAAGAGTCTGAGCCTGAAACAGCGAAAGAAACTCCTTGTAGATATTTTCAGTACAGCTTCATAATTGTTTTTAACTGACTGACCAATAAAATGGGGGGGCAGGAGGGTGTTGTTGATCAAAGGTGAGCATATACAGAAATTGTTCTAAAGCTGTTGTGTCAGTTTCTACTTCCTGAAGCACAGGATACGAATGTAAAACAATCCAAAGCCTACAGCATAGCAAAAAATAGCCAGTCTGCAAAGAAAGGATGAGAGAGTTACAATAGCTGATGCAAGCAATAGTTTTTGCTGCACAAATGAATCTACTTTCATTTTCTTTGGAGCTCCATATTTGCATTTAATTTTGCTGAAAAGATAATTTTGATTTTTGCTCAGAAGATGTAATAGATACACAGTGGAGCTGTGCATCTCACAGAGCTGAGATCCTGAAATTTGTGCCAGATTAAAGTTATACGATAGAGAAACTTGTAGACTTCACTGAGATGGACAGCCAGAAATTAGGATATGAAATTCCGAACTATTACAATCCCAAGACCAGTAAGAAAAGATATGTAAAAGGTTGCTTAACTTGCACTTTCATCTTGCTGTTTCATAGCAAGCAAAAAAAAAAAAAAAAAAAAAATCATTCATCCATGGATGAAGCTTTTTTTTTTCCCCAAAAAAAGAAAACTTCACATTTAAGTAAATTAAGAAAATAAAGTGAAGGAGGGGGATGAAGGGGAGGGGTGCATGACCTTGGATGAATGAATCATATGGATTACTATCAATTTCACCCTACTGAAACTGCACTGCTCTGGCACTTAAACTTTAAGATTATGGGGAAGATATGCACAAGAAGCTTTTCAGCATGTCTTACATTTCAGAGTATTTTATTTGGAGATGTTCTATAGTTCGCAGTAGTTGAAAGAGTTTTAGAAATGACTGAATTGTATTTAAGTGCTTCCATGACTGCATTAAGTCAAGGAGTGCTTTATATTTCAGATAGGGAAATTAAGTAAGGGCAAGAGTCAGAAAAAAAAAGATTTCTGTAATGTTAGTTCTCAGAACTCTGCTCGAGTCATACGGAAGGCTCTGATTTTGAGTGTTATGTACATTCTCCATGAAAAATCAGGCTCTGTGAAGGTGTCTCTAAGCAAGTTCAAACACTGCTTTCCGAAGTTCAGTAGGGATCCTGAAGTAACAAGAAAGATGAAGTAACAGTGACAATGTTTCTTTAAATATGTGGGATTTCAGAACTTCTAGGAGGATTCTAATAAGCTATGAAATCCCACTTGATGGTTAGCACTCTTTAAAATGTTATACTGCAGGCTAGTTTATGTGACTTCATTATATATATTTAAAATCTTTACAGTATCTTGGGATTCACTAAATATAAACAGGTGTTCCAGTGGATTAGCTTATTACCTCAGAAATTCCAAGTCTTGTATACTAAAATTTGGAATTACAGGTGTCTCACAATCTTTTTGTTTGCTTAAAACAAATAAAAATCCAAATTCAATTATTGCAAAACCAAGAGATGCTCTTTGAATTAAAGCCTTCACCCAATAAGATTCACAACAATTCAAATTAGACTTGCTCAGATGCATTTTTGTTAAGAGTCCAACTTTCAGCACTACAGTTCTGCGCCAGGTTAGGACTCCAGACATTCTTAAAAGCTACGTAATGTTTTCACAGCTGATTCAGTAATGTAAAAGAAGGTTACAGTATTCTAAGAATTTTCTTGTTCTAATTAGTGATAAAACTAATTATTTTGACTGAAGGAGGAAAAGGCTGCAGTTTAATCCTGCATGTACTCAAACATGCATTTTAGTTACTTGAACCATCATGACAGTAAGCATGTACTACTAGGACTGGGTCTGTTCAAACTGAAATGTTCCTCCCCTCACAGATGTATTTTTAAGTATTGACATTGGTCACCTGCAACCCTGCAGACATCCAAGCCAAACAACACAGCGCCTCTCATTCGACCTTTGACAACTGTGTTGTCTTCCCTCTTAATCCTTAAATGAGGATTTACCTTTTTGAAACAAAAACACATTGAAGAATTCTTCCTTCTGAGTAATTATGCCCTTCAAATGCTAAAATATACCTTTGCTGTCATTTTAAGCTAGATTGCAGAAATGCCACCTCTGGACTAGAGCTGTAAAAGAAAACAGTCACAATGCTTGTGTGACTATAACTCCTACAGTCATCTTTGTTCAGAAATGGTGAAATTAATCTTCTTAAATTATTGCAATAATAAAAATATTTTTCTAAGGCTGTTGTCTTTTTTTAAACTATACAAAAAAAGACCTATTCCAGAAGCTAAGAGCTATGCATACTACCCAAGATCTGCTTCCTGTTGTCAGCTATAAAAAGCATCACTGCAAAGTTACCAGAGCAGAAGAAATGGTCAGTTGCATCAAATAATACACTGCCTTTTTAGTATACATCTTAACTTCTCTATTCACATAGTAAAACTTGCTCAGTATCTTGATAACATATGATGAGTTTCAAAATACACCTCAAGTTTGCAAATATGTTAGACCTGTTCTTTTCTTGCTATTTCTATGGTTGTGACCATTATTTACTGCTATGCCCAGCCAGTGTTTCCTGTTACCACTCATGACAGAAAGGCCTGCTATGGAAGTACATTACAGAAATGTGTTAGATGCCAGCATCTTTCCTGTTAGACCCAGATACCACCAGCACTCTAGTCCAGCCAGAAGCCTTCACACAAAAGAAATAAATTGCCTCACATTGCTAAGGAAATCAGGATTTGAGCATCTGTGAAAAACATCATATATAAATGGAAGCATATTTTTATACTGACTAATAAAATGGGTAAGAAAAGTCAAGAAGCTATACTTACAGTAGATCACAGAGCAATCTAGCTTAGGGATTAAAAAAAAGAAACAACACAGGACTGTTTTCCAGTTACTTTTTTCCCTAAATATGGAATATATTTTCAAAATTCACAAGGCCTTCCTTCCCTTCTGCGTTACACTAAGTTCTTCAACTCCAAGTGTAAATTCAGTTGAACAATGCCAAAGAACAGATTCCTCTCCTGATAATACAGTTAATTCCATACTAACTTCAAAGCAGAAAGCAACTGTTCCCTTCAATATACTTTGGCTTCCAGCAGTGCCTATTTTATATATTCAAGCTAGACTGTTGATTTAAAAGTCCAGGTCTATGTTACAAATCCTTATTGATATAATACTTCAGAGAATCACAATCCTAACTGACATTTTTATACCAACAGAAGGAGACTTAACATTTCATTTCAGAAGCTGGAAAAGCTACAACAGAAAATATATATTAATTGCAGATCCACTGCAAGTTTTGCTAAATGTATGGCAAAAGAAGTTGATGACAGTGCCTTCTAATAGGGATACAGGCACTATGGAGCAATAGCTCACCTCCTTGCAGTGGCCCAAGAAGAGTGCAAGGGATGGTGCTACAAACACTTAAATGAAGATGAGGAGGGGTGGATCCAGGCTCCACCCCTTTCAGTCACTCAGGTGCATTGCTTTCATCTATGCTCCCTGAGTTAGCCACACTTTCTCACCTGGTGCTCAGCCATTGTTTCAGGCTGTGACCAGGTAATTCCACTATCAATACTGATCTGTTACTACAACTTCAGCTAGACGTAGCCTTACTTGAAAGAAGACAGGGATGCACAGAGGGTATAGCATGTTTTTAGATCTCAAGGGTTATATTAAATTCTGCTAGCTACCACAGTTAAAAAAAATAAAGACCAGTTTTTCTGACTTTGTTCAGCCTGTATGTAGTACCTAAAATGAAACAAGTGTTCATACATAAGCTTCTGAACTCTCACAAACGAAGTTGTTTATTTGGACACAAGACATAGGCAACTTACATCTAGAATCTTCCTGTGGGAGCAAGTCCTATAATTATAGTTTATACTTTACATAGTAGCACTCCAGCCATTAAAGGAAATCTAGCTTAATGCTCTACTTCATAACATGAGCAACATTCTTCAGAATAATATTTAAGAAAATACGCCTTTTAATTGCAGTATCTTTTCCTACTATACCAACATTAAAAGCCTTTGTGCTGGAGAGTGAGAACAATTAGCTAATAAATGGGTAATAAAGATTCTGTATTCTCCCTCCTAGTACTGTCACTTACTTTTAAATTGCCCTGGAAGAAGCATGCACTACAAAGTTCTTCCTTTTTTTACCACACAAGAAATGTTAATTGAAGCAGAAAAGAAATTCTCAGAATAGCTAAGGCAATGCTGAATAAATGAAGCTATTCTGATATTCAAAAACAAAACACTTAGCTTAAACCTGAACAACAGAGAGTGGAAAAGAAGTGAGGAAAGTAGCTGCTTGTATCAGATTTGCTCATCCCACGTTTCAAACACATAAAAGGCTGTGGTTTTCATGCACCTCCTAAACTCTGAGACATTTTCATGTTTAGAGATGCTCCCCTCAACAGAATGGAGAGGGGATAACTGCAGGCTGATCATAGACAACAAGACTCAAAATCCTTCTCCAGTTCTTAAGAGACAATAACAACAAAATAGAACAGATACAGCAGTTCCCATGAAAGGTATGTGGAACACTCAGTATAACAAAGTTTTCCTATTCAGAGCTTAAGTTTTTTTCCTTATTCTTTAAGAAAGCAAAATATGAATGCTCATTTTCACAGAAGACTAAAGGAATACATTCAGATCTCAAATCATCTTCTGTATTTTCAAGTCTACGCTATTAGAAATATTTTTTTATGTACTTCAACACAACATTGCTCCTATCGCTATTTTACGTACTTGCAAATACACAAATGAACTAATAGAAAGGAAAAAAAACAGTCTGTGAGTTGGGAAAAACAGTTAAAGAGACTAAACCTCATTTTCCAAAATAGGTTGACTAGCATGCAATACTTCTAAACTTCATAGCATGGAGTATCTAGGTGATCAAAACTTTTTGTTTCAGGCGCACCTGAGAGGGAGCCAACACCCTGACCCCTAATATAATTCCCTTCATGTTCTTCTAGTTTTCTTTCCACATCAAAACAACACAGTTGATTGCACATTCAATTAAAGTACGTGGTGAACAATTATCCATTCAAATTACAACAGTACAATTCTAAGGCTCTTTACAGACTGAAAACACCGTTTTGGCTCTCTTCCACTCTTCACAGGCTAGGGGTCATTTTCATTCTTTTCCCTCAGAGAACAACTAGAAAATGACAAAAACTTCTTAGTGCAGAAAACCAAATTAGGCCACTTAAAATTCTCACATGACCTGTGCAACCTGCAGAGAACTCCATTAACTGCCCAACACAAACAACTTGTAAAAGCTGAAGATTTTAAGAATCAGAAACCTGGATGAAAGAAAGTGGCAGTGATTTCCCAGATTAATAATACGTTTATTCACAATGCTGAAGGATGACAGCTTAATTTCAATTTGTGTCCACAAATTGTTCTCTCAAATACACCAAAATTCCCAATGCTTACAATTTCACATTCCATTGCTTTGAGCTAAAAACCAACAGCAAATAATAGTGAATATTTCTCGAACATATTGAGTTTTCAGATTTATAGTCAGAAGGAATACTAGGATTACCTAAGTTTTACCTCCTGTATAGCACAGATTTGGGACTTCCCTAATTACCGGTTCAGTCCAGTAACTTGGGGATTTTCTTTAATTAAAAGATAAATGCTGCTGTTTTGCAGATCACAGCCAGCAAGATCAGCAAGCAGCTGTACTACTTCTTGAGTTTCTTTTGAGCAGCCTTCTTCTTGACCATTTGTAGCCTCTTCATTGCATTGAGCTGAGATTCCTGAGAAGTTGGGCCTTTCAGAGAAGCTGACTGATTACCAGCATCTGCTGTGGTTTTGCTTGCGTTGCCCCCGCTGTTACCTGCAGTCCCACTGTTGCCATTCCCACTGCTCACCTGACTGCTGGTGCTTGGCGCGGTGCTGCTGGGACTAGGAAGACCCACTTTGCTAACATTGTCGCTACTTACCGAACGACTAAGAGTGGTTTTCCCCAGTGTCAGAGGTGGAGGTGGTTTCAGCTGAACAGGGCTTGTGCTATTGTTAGCAGAAGCTATTTTTGACCCTAGTCCTGTTTTGGAAGCTGCCAACCCCGACAGACCCACGGGTTTCTGGTTATTTGAAGCTGCTGCAGGTTTCCCACCGGTGCTCTGTGCTGTTGATCCCAGTTTGGCAGTTGATGGATTGGCAGAGGAGTTTCTGGCTGCAAAAGCAGCCCATCCTGTAAGGCCACTGGTGGTTGCTGAAGAGGAAACACTTGTACTGGCTGAGTTCCCCGAAACTGCTGCTGAGGGCTAAAATAAATAAATCATTCTTATTATAGCAGCATTTATTTGTATTAATGCATCACAGCAGGATGAGATTGAGCCTCTTTTTTAGTTCTGTATCCAGAAACACACAGTGGACAACATTTCATCGCTGGTCATTATAGTTAAAAAAAAAAAAAAAAAGCAGTAACGGGAAAAGGATGCAGGCACAGATAACTTTAAATTTCCCACCCAAATAAAACCAATACCTTTTTTTCCTATACAGGCCATTATACAGCACTGAGATCCCCCCATAAATTCTAAACACCGGTTTTACCCAAATAACTCCAATGCAGACTTGTGAAGTATAAACAAGGGAGGCAAGCCAGTATCTTTTATTGCTTGCCATTAAGTGGTGTCACTTTTTGACAAGATAACAGATAAAATAACAGCTCCATAGTAACTAAGTATTGCATTCTTCTCTTTAAAGTATAAGCATCAAAACTTTCCTCTTCCCATCTTGGTTCTTAGCAGCCTATACCCACAGACACAGTTTTAAAGAAAGCCATTGGACTTCTTTCCTCTAGTCTTTCCATTCAGGCAGAGCAAAAGACAAGTGTTCTGCAGACAAAGCTTCCCTTGAATGCAAAGCACAGTACACATCAGTTCCCAAACCTCAACCAAACCCATTTTCAGCTGGGGATAATACAAATGTTGACTTATTAAAACCAGAATCGTACCAGTTTATGGCCAAGGTGAAAAGTTACTCAGAAGTGCAAGTGCTTGAGCAAAAGCCATCGTGTCATTCACAACAGTTTCCATCTAAGCAGCACAACTGCAAATTTACCTCTGAGAACATGAATGATTGCTTTGATTCTATGTTATAGGTGAGCTGCTTCAGTAAGCATCACTGTTTGTTAGATGTCATTTATTATGCTGCTTCTGGTTTATCATCCTAACCAACTCGCAATGTATTAAAAACCAACATTTATTAAATAAGTAGGAAGCTTATATATGTTGCTTCATGTTTCTAAATTAGACCCTACAGGATCAGCTGGATTTCCCTACTGCCATGAGGAGAAGCCTAACTACCAAAATATATGTATGTTACTTGGCCGCAGAGAATAAATATTATCTTTTACAGTGTTCTGAGGACCTGTATAAAATCCTGCTTGTATAAAATACTATTAAGAAAAATTCTCAGAGTAAATTCTGTTCTGTCCTTTCTAACATGAAAATACAGTCAAGAGCTGAATGCTTCAGGGACTTACTACTGAATAGAAGTGCTTCCCCCCCACTCTTATGATGCTAATGCAAAAACCACTATGCTATATTACCACTCAGTATAAATAGCACAGCAGACTACTTGCATTTATTGTGCTTATGAGAAAATGCGGCTAAAAAAATAGAGAAATATACGTTGAAATGTAAACTTATTGTCTGGAAAATTTAAAGTATGTTACCTTCACTTCTGTTCTCTTGAATGCTAGAAAAGTTGTTTGGGTCTCAGGTTTCAATTTAATTTCAGATTTCTTGATCAATGGATCCTTCACAGCTGGTTCAACTGAAACCACAGCTGGAGCTGGTTTTTGAGGTGGTTTTTGTGTCTTTTGAGCCTGAGTGGTAGTATAAAAAAAAAAAAAAAAAAAACAGAAACAAAAAACTAGTCAGAGCTTCTCCAATACTGTTTTAAGAAAGCATGAGCATTATCATATTGAAGTCTAGCCTTTACAATTTGAAGCTGATAAGAATCTGAGAAAAAAGTAGTAATAAGCTGCAGTTGTGGAGGCCATGTCAAATATGGCACTGGTGATTAGGAGTCCAGCCAAAAAGCCATATTGAATAGAACTTTCTATTTCAGCACAGAGAGAGGCAATGCTGAAACTCAGGAACTAGAAAGGCACTGGGCCATCACAGAAAGAAGGCAAAGACAGGTGAATTTGAGGAAAACATGGATATGATCCAGTGCTATTGAGAAGTAGACTGTACAAGTCTGCCAAAAAGTTGCAGTAAAATAAAAGGTAGAATTCATATGAAAACAAAAAGTTAGAAATGGGGTCACTGAAGGGAAAGTCTGAGTCACTGCATAGGCTATCCATTGCATTAACTGACCTCAAGCAAACACTCTGCTGGGTTCAATGTTCTGATGATCATCCGAATAACCATGTACTTCAGTGAGTAATAACTTCTAGGAAAGGATCTTACACTGACTTTTTCTTGTTCATTAGCAGAGACATTTCAAAAGATAACCACTTGCTAAGTTAGCACAGAACAGCTCTAAAACAGAGCATATTTTCTGCTGTATAAAGGGGTTTGATTGAAAAGAAAATCAGAAGTAGAAATATGTGAACAAAGACTCTTTGCTCACTTTGTTTCTCATGATGAGATGAGAGAGATCTGTGTGGGATCAGAAATAATTACCCTGCTTAGTCAAGAAGTTATCCTGTAGACAAATCAAAATGAAGGGGTTTTTTTTGGGGGGGGGGATGTGCTCTTTCAGCACTTATGATTTGAACGAAAATTTTTGCTCTCTTGTTGCAAAAACAATCATTCACATCTACACCTATGAAGAAAATCAAAACTGAAGGGATATTCGGTAAATATGCACTAAAAAAGTAATCAGTATCACCTAAAATAAAAAATGCTTTAAAAGCATTTACTTACCAAGTGAGAAAGAGTCCTGTTTCACACTTCTTCACTCACATTTTGTTATTAATAAAAGTTAAAGATCATACCCAAATACTCCTTGATACTACATTAAAAAAACACAGTTGCAGCAAGTGAAGCATAGCTGAGAAAAGTGGCTCTCCAACATTCTTCCAGAGATTTCTGCAACCTAAAGAATACTCTCACACAAAAGAAATAACCTGCTCCATTTCAATAGTGCTCAAACTAGACAAAAAACTGACTCCTACCATTCTCTTCATCTGTCTGGTACAGCGGGCACAGTACCATACAAGTCGAGGATCATTCACTTCCTTGTCTGTCACCTGAGGTTTATGGCAGTCCTGGTGGTAGAGATTATGGCACTCCTGACACTCTACAAGCTGATTCCCAGAAATAACTGTCATTTGCCTGCAGAGCAAATAGTTAAGAACAGATTATTGGGAAAAGCACTTCAAGGATTATCCAACTGCTGTAAATTTTGCACAGCTTAAGATAAAAACTAAAAATATTTTTGCTTTTGTGAATATTTTCTACCTGTAGCAGATGAGCTACACTGATTTTTCTTCCTATCCAAGTTCTTCCTAATATTTCAGAAATTATTAGATTTTCATGGGAGAATCAACATTAAAAAAAACTTCAATATTATCAGACATGCATACATGACACTTCCTGCTCTTCTGTTTGATTTTTATGTTAGAAACTTAAGTCTCATCTGTCTTTTTCACCTACAGATTTTACCACTGTTTACTTATTATGACTTTCTCATTACAGTAACATCCAAAGGCCTACAGCCTACATTTGGATAATTTTGCTGTAAGCTGTAGAGCACTACAATTGAAGAACAAATAATTTTGCATTGACTGGTATGAAAGAGTGCTTTCTTCTGAAGAATTTAAAAGCATCACCATCCCAACTCAATTCACACCCAACTACTTTACTGATGTTTTATTAGCTATCCTTTCTGGTCCCTACAAACAGACACTTGGAATTGGAGATAATACCAGAATCTTGAAAAGATAGAACACAGAGGATTAACTTGCAGCTCTGCCTTGAAGCAAGTGCAAAGCTGGTGATGAAGACTTAATTCTGCTGTGGGTCTCTGGCGAAAGTAATCATGCTGCATAAATGACAAATTAGTGATGTACACATGACTGCGAATGTCTAAATTAGCCAAATATCAGATTTCTGATGATTTCTTCTTTCAGATGAAGAATCAGGCTATTTAATTTCTAAGCTGCTTTTGCTCATAAGCCCGAGGAGCAGGTACTCAGGTAACCATAGAAACCCTATTTGTAGATGGGTACAGAAAGGTAATACCTTGTTTCTCTATAACAAGAAAAAGAAGTCTGAAAGTCTTGTCTATACAGACATTAGAACACTTTCTAAGGAATATTTCTTTTTCAAATGGGCTACCAGAAAAAACAAAAGACAAAACGTTTCTGAAAGTCCACCACCCCATTAGAGATGCAGGAAATTTTAAGAGCCATTTTGTTTATGATTCCTAAATAAACTGGGTAAAAACAAAGCAGTGATGCTTTAACCCCATGTCTCAAGCAAGGAGATTCACTCTATTTCAAAAGTTCTGAAGACAATTGCAAACTAATTAAAAAAAAACCTCAACTCTTCATCCTCAGAATCAAGTTAAACCAGTCTTATTTTTAAACAATTCGATAAATAAAAAGCAAACTTACTCATCTTTTAATTTCAGAAAACAAGTATTCCTAAAAAAAACATATGGTCACTATTTCAAATAAATGGGCTATATTTTTTTTCCCCACCCGCAAGGTTTACTATCAGCTGCAAATTGCAAGTAATGTTGCTTCTTCACATGACTGAGGATCCCTGTATCTGTTGAATCACTGTTTTCTAAGATCTAGAAGTACTGAAGAGGGTGAGGTTATTCCAGTATTTTCTTTGTGCCTAGTTTGATATAGCAGAACAGGATCTAAGTTAAACAACCCACAGACATCAACTTCCAATATCCCTGATGACTGTGCAGACACATCTCACACTTAGCAAATCTTGATGAAACATTCCACCTCTTTAGTTTCTACATCTATAAAAAAAAGGAATAGTTAATCTACAAATGTATTTTTTTGCATTTGTGAACTCACTGTACACAAGTTGATAACACAGCTGTCAACTTTTCTTCAGCAATATAAACCATTGAACTATGAAAAGAAGAACCTCACATACTCTGCAACTGGACATGGTGTTTTCATTCACAACTGTCTGCATATAAATATCAATAGCTGTCAGCTTCCAAATGGTATTCATACCCATGTTACTTTACAAAAGCACTGCATACTTCTGTATTTCATATGTTCTGAAGTGTTAGTATTTCAACTCAAGATGTCCAGCCACAGGAAGGGACCTTAGGTTGACAGCTGAGCAGTAAATAGTGGAACGCAGTCCTAACAACTACGCTGAATTTAGAAAGCCTGAAGCATAAAAGTGTTCTGAAAAACAATCCATCCAGATTAAGTTGGAAACTGAGAATCAGAAGACATCAGGTCCAGCAGTGTTCATGTACAATAAAAACAAATACCAAGTCTTTGGAGATTGCTACCATCCTCTCTAATGAGTTCCCTCTCTATACACTTTTTCCTCTCTCCAGCATCACTTTAATAAGAGCTATTTTACAATCAGTATTGCAGAAAGAAAGGTAAGATTTATTTATTACTTCAGGTATTTGAACTGTTCTTCCTTTTTCAGCATCTGTAACCAAGTCAAACATTTGAGCTAACACATGGGAACAATATGACAGGAAATCTCGTCACTCTACAACTGGTTAACAGTATAATTAGCTGTGAAATAGGAATTCCTCCACGTACCAGAGACAGCTTGAGAACACACTTTCCCATGTGGCTTAAGCTGAGCTAGAATACAATAGCTCTACCAAGAGTCTGGCCAGTCCCGCAAATGCCAGCTCCATCTTCCTCCCTGTCCTGATCCTATGTTCTCATAGCCATGCATACATGAGGATAAGTACACTCAGTGAGTTGACTGAAACCCAGATCTGCTGAAAAACCTGAGCAGGGAGCTGCTCCAGAGGCTAGTGCATCTGATCACACACATAACAAGACACCCCTGTCAGAGGTAGGGAAGTAGGCAACAAGGGAAGCTTACAGGAATATAAATCACCTGTGAAACACAATGCTTATTCAAGTTGCCTGATCACATACTGGATATTCAAAAGTACGTTGTTAATTCTTTCACAATTAGATACACACATCATTTACAAAACATTACTAAGATCCAGTTTTAGAAGCGCTTGATGGAAAATAAAAACCTGTTTTGACTGCAAGATGTAAGATACATATAGAGAATGAACTGAAAAAACATGGTCACACGTAAAGTAACGTCAAATGATTATGAAAAAAGTGAGCAACACATGCACAACTCATTCTAATGCCACTAAAAAAAATGTACTCAACTGCTTTTTAGAATGCTGCTTAACATTAGCTATTAATATTTTAACTTGCCTTCCAATATTTAAAAGACAGTATCTGTTATGCTAGGTTTTTCCTTTTGTCTGATTTTTTTAATTCTCACTTGCTCTGTTCTAAAGAAAAATCATTTTTACTCTTTAAAGGCTCCATTTAAAAAAAAATCTTGTTTGTGAAGAACACTTACATGCATTAGTAGCTTTGCATACGTACTTAAGTAATTTCCAGAATACAACCTGCAAGGTAGCATTAATTGAACGCTACATGGGCAAAAGCCAACCAAAAGCAAATACACGACTGCAATGAAACACTTAATTTACCTGCAAACAACACAGGCCAAACCCATTTCCATCGCAAAGTCATCAGCACTGGTTTCCTCAAAGCTAGATAAATCAGGCATGGATAAATCTTTACTTGTCTGAACAGTAATAGGAGAGGAACGAGCCTCTTGCTTCTCGAGTCTGGGCTTCTTTGGCACATCAGCTCCTTCAGCAGCATCCCCTTTCATCTATGGCAAACACAAACAATGTGAAAAAGCAGAAAGTTGATGGACCTTCTAAAATGAGAAAATGACTGAAACAATTAAAATAAAAGTATAAAAAGGTGTATATAAAGCATACACAGCATGTTTTCCTCAAATACATCTTCTCCAAAATACTCACGAGTTAGAAACTCAAGTCCACCTTTTGTGCTTCACTACAAGAATCTCAAAAAAGCCTTGGAAAAGCCCACATTTCAGGCTGCTACATTTTATTAATGTGTCATCAGTGCATTTAATGTATTTACAAAATAGTTTTAACTAGACCTCTGTTGGATTGCCTAAACAACAACATGATTTGATAAGATGCTGTAGGCTATGCACTATTAGCAAGAACAGAGTTACACAGACTACACAGGAAGAGAGCTTTCACTAAAACAACTTTGAATTTGTTAGCCAGGTTATGTCACTAGAGAACAAGAATTAGACTCACTTTATCAGCAGATCTCTTTTCTGTTTCTTTTTTCACCTTCTCTGATGCAGTAGGCTTGCCATTGTTGTTACCAGAAGGCAAACTAGAAGAGGCCTTAGGATCTTGCTTACTAGAAACAGGCTTGGTAACGCATACTTTTGGTTGCTCCACTTCCTAAAAAACAGAAACAAAAATTGAAGTCAAACCCTACAATCTACTTCCTGTTTTGCAATTAGATCACGTTAGGCAAACAAAACGTTACATAGCATTGTTCACATGTACATACATTCTTCTAAACCTTTCTTTAGTCCTTTTATAATACATTCACAAATAACTGTTTAAACTACAGTTATTAAAATCTTCCTTAATGCTAATCTTCCAGAGGAAAAGATTTATGCTAGAAATATAAGTAGACGTGCTGCCTCTGGACATCAATATATCATTCCTTTATGGAGGCAAGTCAATCTCAGTTCATATTCACCTACCAGCTTAATAATTTAGATCTCAACAAACTGACAGTTCTTGTAAATGTTGCATTAGCATCAGCAATGTATAATAAAAAAAATGAGTGATCAACCACAGCAATGTGTATGAGAATGGTATCCCTCCATCTTGGTAATAAGTAATCCTCTGCTGCATAGTGGGATGAGTTCTCAGCTTCACTTCAGCCCTACCAACTTTTCTGATTTCCTGTTGCACGTAGACAGTGACAATCAGCCAAGCTGCTACTGCAATCAGCTTTCCAAGCCTCTGTGATATCCACCTCTGACAGAAAGCTCCTGAAAGTCACAACACCTGCGTTACTACACAGGGGTACAGTTGTAATTTAGGATTCAGGAATTAATGATTTGCATAGAGAAGAATTAGACTGTAGTACAAGCATCACGTATGCCACAAGGTAATACTGTCTTTCTGATATTTTAAGAAGTACCTGTAGAAGGAAGATGTCAGTGTGTGTGAATACAAACCATCATTAGAACATACCTGGCTGATTTATCAACATCCCAAGGGAGAAAACTACCTCATTAACTATATGGCAACAGTGATACTAGGATGCACCAACATGGTTGTTTTTTTTTTCATATGCTAATCTCAGATTTAAATATTCTGTCTAGCAGGTGGTTAGTTATTTCCAGCAAATGAAAAGTTATGCATTTCCACGGGACAGCGATGATTTTTGTCTGCAAATCATTTACATTTCAAATCATTTGGAATACTTCCCCTCCCCCCCATTCTCTACAACTTCATCAACCATATTGAGAAGAGAGATCCAGTTTTATCAGTTGTTGGTCCTTGAAAGCAATGAAATTGATTCTGATAAGTTCTTTGCAATAGCAGGCAAAGTGTCATTATGAGTATTAATAACTATATGTAGAAAAAAGTTGACTCACCTAACTGGTGATAGGGTCTCTGCCTACAGAACACTCCCTCTCAGAAGTGGTCCTCATCCAGGAGGCATTCTCCTATTGGAGGCTAGCTCTTACACGAGTTCAGGTAAGGGTGGACCTGAACTGCTTGCACCTATACTTCCTGAGCCCGCCATACCCCTTCACCAGATGCTCAATCATCAGATTAGGCACGACATAACAGTTCCCTTACTCCCCTCAGTAATTAGCTTTTTGTTTAATAATAATCTGGTCACAACAATACCTGCATTTTAAAGAGCTTTTTATCTTTGTTTATAACTGTGTAATTTTGGTTCCCCTTTCTGTGATAGCTACTAAGCAGAATGCTAAAACCAACATAAAATACAAGAATCACCATTAAAAAAAAAAAACCTCGCATTTGCAATATAGTAAGGAACAGATATTACACACATTTGGATATATCAAGATTTTTTTTCCCCATTAACTTAACTGAATGCACTATTTTGCAAAAAAAGGGAAATGGTGAATTTGAACATTTCACAATTACTCATAATTTTTCCAGTTTCTAATTCTCTTCTAAATCTTCAGCTGTAAAAATGAACAAGGAATAGCTGGGGCCATAAAGGCATGTGAAAAAGGCCTGTGTTGTCACCTTCTGAGATGGACGATAACTTGAATCGGCTCCTCTGGCCAAAGACTCATCAAGAAGTGCTTTCAGCTTTTCTGCAGAATCCTTGCTCTTGGAACGCAAGAAGCCCAGGGCTTTCAGAAAAATAGGATCAAGCTCCATGTTCACCGCAGCAGCCATAGTGGTGTCTTTGTAGGAAGACAAAGAAAAAGGAAGAACTTTAGTAAGTATATTATTAATTAATTAATATAATATTAATTATCATTAGAAGACGACCGTAAACTTAAAGAGCTGAAGAACTTGAATTTGGCTTCACATTTGAAGGGACATCAACTCTGTTCTTTGGACATCTGATGCTGAGAAATTAAACTCATCATTCTTATGGAAATGGAACAAGAATTTCATATTCTTGATAACCTGGCAATATGGAATATAAATGCAATTAAGTGTAAACTTCAACAAGAGCACCTACTACCCTAATCCTCATTCAGATCTGCACAAGATTTTTAACACATTTGATCATTTAAGAGCAAAGAAAAATATGACCATAAAACTCACTTTTGATAATTCTGAGAATAGCTCCCTGCAACATACAATACAGAGATTCAACACAGCAAGTACACAATCTTTTTTCTTTTATAAAAGTACATTGTTGATTTTTAAAGCGAGTTGAAATAGTGAGAAAAATCTACAACTTGGATGGTTGTTTATCCAAGTTCACTTGTTTTCTCAACAAGTACCTATCCAGAGCTCTAAGAGATACCACAGTGCCTATGGAAATGAAGTGAGGAAAAGCAAAGAATGAATTAAAAAAAAAAAAGTTGCATAGCAGTAGTTACCTGCACTCCAGAGCCTTCATTGCTATCCTCTTTAACAAAAGTTGCATCAGAAACTCTGCTCTCTAATTATTAACAATAATAAATTTGAGAAAAGCCAAACATGGGAAGTTTCCTGTTCTTTTCCAAAAATGGATAATTAACAAATCTCATTTGAAAGATATCAGGATGCTTTATTTCTTATACAGTGTTCTAGAGAAGTTTTCAATTCTGCTCAAAAGCACTACCCAGACAGGCTTTTTTTTAGGCTGAAGCCTCCAAAGTTTTGTCTGAAGAATTTCTTTTGTTATTCAAGGCAATGAACTTTTACCTCTCTCTCTGGCCATACACCAGCAGCAGAAGTCTGCTCCCTCAATGCCTGCCTAAAAGTCTCCAGGAACCTTTATCTCATGCTGGGCTTTCACGAGACACCAGAGAATCGCTCTACTGATATCATCAAGGAGTTCAACATACAGTAGACTTCATAGGGATTTCATCAATGGAACCAGCAGAGAGTTAAGAAACCTCTTTAAGAGCTCGTTCCCTATTCCTTAATCCACTCGTTAAATCGTTTTCCAGCGGCCGCAGAACTTGTCCTACCAAGTACACTACAGCAGGAACTGCCTCACCACTGATCACGCAGACTACTACAGTGCGAGCCCCATCCACACAATTCAGACTCTCCCTAATGTTTACAGAAAGGGAATTCAGTGTGTGGAAAGTACGTATCCACTTGTTTTTTTTTATATATAAATGCATTTGTCTACATTTAAAATTCTGGCTGCTCTTGAACTCTGTGGTTAAGTTACCATTTCTGTGTTTTGTGAATTTGGCTTCCAAGTTTCAGTGCAACATAGCCTTAAGTTAAGAATGCTACACCCTCCATTGTACAAAAACAGTGGAACAAAGCCACTAGTTGTAAGAACTTGGAATAATTCTTAATTCCCTCTTAAAAACAAGGAAACAGAAACCCTTTAAGTTCATTTCTGAGGCATCTTCAGAGAGTACATACATGCGTGCATAAGGAATAGATAGCTTCAACAGTCCTTAGCAAACAATTCAGCATAGTTGTAGAATTTAGAAAACAAGTGTAAGCCCGCTAAATCCATTTTTCCTCTTCTGGAAGATAACACTTCCCTAATTATTTTGAGCTCTAGCTTTTTAAAGGCAACTATTGGAAAGTAATTGTTTAATTCAGACATGTTCAGAAGCTTTCTATATACTTAGTCTTTCATTTGCGCGTGAAATTGTGGCAGTTCTTTCTCCTCTCAAAGGTAAATTGTAATAATGTCACGGGCTACCACAACCAAAAGAAATTTCTTACGTGAAGAGAGGGACTTCGTATAGAAAATAAAACATCACGCAGAAAAAAATACAAGAAAAAAGTATATGACACTGCGCAGTGGTTTAATTACACAGCTGCAAGATTAGAGAGCTGTAGTATAATCCTTGAATCCACGACAGAAATGGTTCTCCTTGAAGCCGTAAGTGGATAGAACACAGATAAGTTGCAGAGCAGGGTCAAGAATACACATGCACGCTCTCGCAAGTGAGCATAAAGTCACCAGTCCAGCCTTACAAGCACCCTTCTTCAGTTAGCTCTCTGACAGTTCTTCATTGTTTCCCAAGCCTTTAATGATGGACAGAGAACACCACACTGATGATAACAAAGCTGTCTGATGCATCTGTGATTTATATATGAAATCCTTCTAGGATGGAGAATCATCAAGTAACTTCCCAGCATGGTCTACACTGAACAGTTTAAATATCCACAGGAAGAAAATTGTTAGTTAATAGGCTGTTCATCTCACAGTGTCTAAGAGTTTTTTTCTGAATCACTCATTTCTAAACTATTTTATTCTGCCAAAACTTACACAAAATTAACCGAGCACTATACGCACAGTCTTTCAACTTAACAGCTACTCTTCCCAGGGTATTAGAGGTCTTTACTGTCCATTGAGTGGCCTGCTGGTATTCCGCATACCTACACATGACATTGCAATGTTATTATCAAGCCCATTTGTTGTAAATTCAGCTACAGTTATACCTTTCCACCATCACTGAGTAGGAGGACTTTCACCCACATATCCTTTGCATCCATCTCCAACACCTGCAGTAGTTAACTGAGAGCCCAGAAACACGGATCAGCAGCACAGAATAGCTTTCAGCACACTAACCATGTTTGTCAATAACTTATTTAATTCACCACCATTAAAAAAATAAAAAAATAAATAAAAAATCAATTAATCCTTCATTTTTTTTTGTCCTTTAGAATCTTCTTTTCCTCAGGAAGAGGAAAATTCTTCTTTCCTGACTAAATCTAACAACTGTAGCAGTGGTAGATCTTGTGTATTTACCAATACCGCCTTTTCCAGATCACTCTCAGATTTAACACAAGTCTTGATGAAATAGATCAAGGAAAGCAGGAAAAGCTTAACTTCCATTTTCAGATTTTACTTTAGTATCATAACAAGGATTTGATTCATGACAACAATTTCACAGTACCTCCCATGAGGGATATTTCAAAACTCAAGCACTTTAGCAGTCCCGACAACTGCATTAATCAGAACAATTGCATTCATCAGTTCTTATTTATGGGACATCTTTATGTGAAATTCAAAGAATTTCAGAAGATTTGAGTAAAATCTTCCATTATAGTTACCAGTTATCCATAACTTTATATCCTATCCTACAGCATATTTTATACCATTATTTCCAATCGATAATTCAATCTATCACAGTAACTTACTAATCTAACATTTCTACATTACACTATTGTGTAATATTTGCTGCTTTCTACTGCTCATAAACAATATATTGTCTAAGAAACATAGAAAACCATGGTTTTGACTGGGATATAGTTAATTCTCTTCATAAAGGCTGACAGACTGATTTTTCTTTTTTAAATGAAAATAGTACTGATAACAGACTGGTGCTTTAGTTGTTGCTGAGCAGCGCTGCACAGAGCTGAGGACATTTCAGCTCCTGATGCTGTCCTGCCAGGAGGGGTTGGAGGAAAACAGGGAGCTGTGAGGGGGCAGAACCAGGACTGCCGGCCCAGACCAAGCAGAGGATTGGCACATACCATATGGTATCCTGCTCAGCAAAAAAAAAAACACACTGGGAGACAAGAGGAGGAAGAGGGAATGACGTTCCAAGAGATGATGTTTGTCTTCCCAAGAAACCATTATATGTGATGACTTCTGCTTTCCTGGAAGTGACTGAACATCGGTCTGCCAATGGGAAGCAGCAAAGGAATTTCTTGTTCTGTCTGCGCGTGCAGATTTTGCTTTACCTACTAAGCCATCTTAACCACAAACAACCAGTTCTCACACTTTCACGTTTCTGATTTTCTCTCTCACCTAACATGCAGAGAATAAGTGAGTGGCTACATGGTGCTGCATGTAATGCCTGCTGCATTACACCACGATACACAAGCATTTCGTTTCTAAGAGACCTGCTCAAAGCAGAAGTCAGCCATGAATTCAAACAAGCTTTCCCAGGACACCATCCAGCTGGACCTTCAAAACATAAGACGACAGATCTCACTGCCTCCTTTCACTTCTTTAATTCAAATTGGCACCTCCCCTGTTTCAGATTGTGCTTTAACATAAAAGGAAATACAGGCTCCATTTTATCAATCTCCTCTTAGGTACAGAAAGGCTTCTTTTTTGGTCTCTGCACACCCCTCCTCAGATGACATTCTCCACTCCTCCCCCCAATTTCAGAGCTAGCTATTTTGCCACAGACAACAGTCCAGTTGACCAGGCATGACTGACTCTTGGTAGATCCCAAGCTGGTCATCCCCAGCCAACACCTGCTCCTCCCCATACTGCAGTGGCTTCCTTCATAACCTTTCCATGGATTGAAGGAGGGAAGCTGACCAGCCTGCACTTCCCTGGATCGTCCTGCTTGCTCCTTTTTGAGAAGGGACATATGATCTGCCTTTTTCTAGTCCCTGGTGATTTTTCTCAGCCTCGTGACTTCTTGTAGAGAAAAGCAAGCGGCTTCACAATGATACCACCAGAACACAGGTCATCCAGGCCCATGGATTACCAGGCAACCAACCCATGCTTCAGTCCTCTTTTGTAACTTATCCTTGTTGCGGAAACAGAGGCCTCACTGATGAGCCCTGAGGCAAAACAGATTGTCTTAGATCCAATGGGAACAGTTGGTTTCCTTTACAGTACCTGATACAACGCTATATTTTGGTTTTAAGAGAAAAACAATGTCGATAACACACTGATGTCTCTATCTGTTGCTGAGTAGTGCTGTACAATGCACAGTGTTTCAGTTTTCTCAGCTGCTTACACTGTCCTGCCAGTGAGGAGGCACACAGAGTTGGAAGTGTACAGAACCACTTTTTTCTGGTTCTCATCCCCATCCCACTGGGAAGAGGAGGAACACATCAGTGGCTGTGCGGTGCTGCTGAGTTAAACCACAACACACACTGAGTATCAGCCCTTACTCATGCTCACTGACATTATAGCACTTGCCCCACTCAGCAGCTGCTCCACATTTAATTTGCGCATTCTGCTCCTGATAATCCAGCAGAAGCATCCCGCTGCTGTTGCCGTTTCCTCCTTGTTTTCAATCTAGCTCGCCTTTGATTTTGCTACCACGACCCTCACGTGCGTGGGCAACGTTTACATACCCCCCTTTGCAGCCCGTCGCCACTCACACACACCGCCTACCTCCTCCGCGTACCACCTCTAGCTGCCCGTTTAACTGAGCCCTCCTCCTGCAGTACCACCTCAAATCTACTCACACCGGGCCACCCTCCGGCACCCACCGGGCGGGGCCGGGCGGGCTCACCGAGCTCAGCCACACGCGTTACCGCCGGCCCCGCTCAGGGAGCACGGACGGCCGCTTCCAGCTCCGCCGTAGAAGCGCCCACGGGGAGCTCAACGCCCGCCCGCAGGGCCGGGGACGACACTGCAAAGCCCCGAAGTTTCCGCCGCGCTCTCACCTGAAGAGATACGGCAGCCACCGCCGCCGCTCAGAGCCCTCAGCCGGTACCCAGCGGCCGTTCCGGCTCGCTCCGCGGGCGGGAAGGCGGAGCGCTGCGCGAGTGAGGCGGAGCTGGGCGGGACGCGCATGGGCACACCGCGAGAGGCGGAGCCGGGGCGGAAGCGACCGGGACGTATCGTGCGCGGGGCCGGGTAAGCGGCGGGGAGCGGCTGAGGGAGAGGCGGACCCCGGCAGATCAGCGCTGGCGGCGACCGGGGGCCGTTTATCGGCTCGCGCGGCGGTGGGCGGGGCGGGAGGTGCGCGAGGCAGCGCGAGGCAGCGCGCGGGCACTGCGGCCTTGGGAGTTGGCGCTTCGCTGCTGCTTCCCCGCACGGGCTTCTCCTCCTGCCGGTCGCCCCATTCCTGAAGCGCGTGCTTGAGCGTGGAGACCCGCGCTGGTGGCGGGAACGCACAATTCTTTGGATACGCTGAAGGATGGCTGGCCCTAAGCTTCCGCAACGCGTTGATCGTCCGGCTGGAAACATAGCTCAGCTTTCCGCAGTTGTCTCCCTTAGAGCATAAATTGTAACGTCGTGCAAAGTTAAATATTTCCTGGGGGCACCTGTCTTTTTAAATGACTTGTGATGAGCAGCGTATCTCAGATGATGAGTAAGATGTTAGCCAAGCTGGCTGTAACACCGAAGGCAAATTCGTGTTATTTATCTTCAAGCTATGTTGCAAAACCTGTGATATATTCATTATTTGTGTTCAGCTGGTTTCTGCCTTCCCTTCTTTTAATCGTGGCTACTATTAAAAAGGCCAGTATAGGATAGAAATCCATCTCACAGAATGCAGGCTAATCAGAGAAGGACAAATGCCAGGGAAAAAAAAATAATTATGATTAAATGGGTGAACAATGTTATGTCTCAAGTCATTAGTTCCATTCTTTATTTTATTATCACAGAACAGCGGGGGTTGGAGGAGATGTCAAAAGATCATCAAATCCAACGCCCTGATAAGCAGGTTCCCTACAATAAACTGCACAGATTGGTGTCCAGATGGATCTTGAATATCTTCGTAGAAGGAGACAAGCTGTCAGGAGGAAATCTCTAAAGCAAAACATTGGAGAGAAGTGGGATGTGGCAGGGCGAGAGCCTACAGTTCTCTGCAGTGGAAGAAAAAGGCCTTGAGTATATTCTCCCAAGAAATAATTTAAGGGAACGAAAGTCATCTGTAAACAGGTCCCAGATAGATTTATTTTGCTTTATGTCCTGTGAGAGACTAATATGAATACCATTGGGCCAAACCTTATTCCACTGACTGGATTTCAGAAGCAGGTGGTGTGTGTGTCATTGTTCATGGCCTGAAAGTGGGGAAGACAGTTTCCTAGATAAGTGTTTGGAGTGGTCAGTGAGCAATTGGTTTTTATGTATTTATTTATTTATTTTGTGATACGGAGCTTTGTGATGTCTGGTAAGACCGAGAGAAATTTCTCAATTAGTCTAAATCTTCTAATTTCAAAGATGAATAAAAAAATATTTCTATTTTAGCAAGCGAGGCATGTTTTTTTGGCAGCTGCATAGGCTGTGTGACAGTTCAGAAATTATGCTGCCTGTTTAATTGCTTTGTGAGAAATAAAAGAACTTTCAGTATTAATTTTTGAAGTTTGTAGGAAGTAATACTTGCATTTAGAAGTCAGAAAATGGTGATAGATGACTTGCAAAATATTTCTGCACCAATTGAGCTCAGACCATTTTATTATCCACAGTGTAATAAAAAGCTCCTAAAAGATTAATATTTCTTCTGCGTTTACCCCATGCATTGCAAGCTCTGTTGTTGCAATGAAACTGAGTCTAGACTTGACTTATTCACATTTTATCTGGCTTTTGAAATTACATGTCTGTGAACAAAGTTAACTTCATTGCTACTTTTTGGCCATCTGAAATCTCTTATGGGAAAAAATAGATGTAGTGTAGCTGGGGCAAAAGCAGGAAGTTAGGGCTTTAGGGAACAGACAGATGGTGGAAGAGGGTGGCTATTGTCGTTTATACTTAGGACAGATCTCAAAAAGCGGAAGGAAAAAAAATCATGCTGATATAATGTTTGTGAGTCCAGCTGCAAGTTTGGGAATAGAATAAGTGATAAAATGCCCATGGTACACTGCAGACTACACAGGAAAAAAAAATCCTGGCATTTCTTTCTGGAGACAGCTCGTCTTCTAAGTTAGAAAAAGAAACACAGTAGTATGACAAAATAATTTGAGTGATGCTCTCTGTTTAGTAGTATGAATGAAATGTCTGTGGCTCTTCTGCACTTTTAAGTTGGTGAATAGGTAGGATTTGACTGTGATGATGATAGAATCAGAACAAAGTATTCATTAGATCCGTGAGGCTCACTTTACATGCTGTTTCCATCTATTTCAGGAAACCTCGTGCTGAAACAGAATAGAAAGTTGCCAAAGGTAGCACTTATTGCTGTTGCTTCCTTATTTCTCATCTTCACACCTCTTCCAGGTGCAGACTTAGAAGAGTCAGTGCAAGCTGTGCATAATCATTATACATTCCTATCTTGTTTTGAGAGGGAGTACTCTCCCTCCCTAGATAAGTACAATTCTCAGTGCTTCAGCACTGTAATGTTCAAAAGCCACTACTTTCAAGTGGGCAAAATGCAGTGAAGAGTTAAATGTGAGTGTTAGAAGTAGAGAGAAGAGCAAATCTGAACAAAGTGACAAGTAAATCTTAACCCACATAACATCCATGGGTAAAGCTTTTAAAAAAAAAGATGTTCAGTTTAAAGAGTCTGTTTGGAATTCAGATGCAAGTTCCTTAGTGACTATAAAGGAGACAGTCTCAATACAAGTATATAACATTATGGATTAAGGTAAGTGAGCTACATGCATATTCCCCTTCTCTGACATTGTCACAAGGCTGTCAAGAGACTGGAGTATGCATTTATCCTGCTTCAGGGAGATTCAGCAGTGTTGGCATACGTGCTTTGTGTGGCTTCTGGATGCAACAGTTTTGTAGCTGAGGATAAGAATGGTTGAATTTGTCTGGCCAAATTTCAAGCTAAATTTTGAACTCTGAGGAGACAGATGGATTAATGGGATGGTGCCAGCTGTGGCATATACAGGGTTGAGTACAGAGCAGACCAATAACCAACAAGTCATTATTTCCAATCAGTTGCTGTCCCTGGGACAGACTGACAGTTGCTATCTATTACTCATCGCTACTGGGAAGAAGTAATTTTGTTCAGTGGATTGGAGTAAGATTCACACTGACACTGTTAACCCATTCATCCACCAGTTTTTAAAGCGGAACATCTTTAATCAGTAGGCTGATCAGTTGTACCTCTATTTTTGCATCTTCCTAGAAGTTCTGTAGGAAAGGATTTGAGATTAAGCGGTTATATATATGGATGAAACGGATAAGACTAACTCTTCTCTCATCTTCTCCTCAATTACTTTCACTAAACTGTTTTCTCCACAGTTGTAGTTACGGTATTGTATCCATCTTCATTTCTATGTTTATCCAAGCGAAATAGCCTTTAGGAAAGTATTTTACGTACTTTTGTGTATTTTATTATTCTTTGAGTGGAAGCTGTGTTAATTAAAGAAAAGCAAGAGGATTTGGTTAGGGACTCTTGTTTTGAGACAGCCATGTAACAGAACAGTTGAAAAACATTTCTGTATAACAGTCATTGTGATTCTTATTTAATGCCAGGTGGGCTTGATTTTATTTTTCCACTGCCTGTCTTTGAGCAATTGCTCTGTCCCAGTGACAGATGATATAAAATAGTACATTTGATGTATATCTCCATATATGAAATGTGAGAACTTTTTGCTGCATATTGCTATCATGTCCCTGTAACTGTATGGAGACATTATTAGATAGTTATTTGGAAGATTTTGTCCCAGTGTCATTTGTGCTCTACGTACATGCATATAAACTATATATAAATAAGCATACTGCATATCTGAGCAGCGTTCAGAGTTCTTCTTCGTATTATAATGAAGCTTTGTTCTACATGATTGTTTTAAGAGTGCCATCTAGTGCTCTATGCTGTTCAGTAGGAATTGTGATTTTGAAGTTAACAGAGAATGTTATGTGGTGGTGGCACAGAAAAGCTATTGCATTGTTGTTTTATATTACACTAGTATGAAATGGCTTAATAAAAAAAACAGACTTTCAACAAAGTATAAGGAAAAATGATTTAAACATTTAACATAATGACATTAATTTCAGCTACATCACTCTTGTATTTCACTTTAAAACAGTGACTCTGTGTGTGTATGTGCTTTAACAAAAGAGGCAAATGTATGTATGATAAAACTGTTTTAGGTGCTCAGGAACATGGTTTTATAATATTGCATGATAAATGCATGATTATGGGTGATTTAAAAGTGAGCTTTATTGTAAAATGTCTAAACCTTCAATGTTCAAAATAAAATCTTTTTTGATTTTCATATTTTTACTTAGTGTCGGAAATCAGTTCCTTGTCAATGATGTGTATGTGAGGCGGCAGGCTATATGTGAAACATTTTCCTCTCTAAGTGCCACATTCTACTTGCTCAGGCAGGATATCTTTAATAGTATCTTACTTTACAATCAGTTTTAGCCGATAACGGTACAACCGCTGTTTCAAACCCTCTGTTTTGTTCTCAATTCTGTATTCTTTTATGACTGTTGTGTTCTAATTTCTATTTCAGGAACTTCAGCTCAGGAGGAAGATGAAAGATAGCGTCCCTGAAGAACATTTGTATTTGGGTTTTTCTCATCAGTGTCAAGATAGTATCTTTCCTCTTCATACGTCTATTTCACTCTTCTTGCTATCCTACTGTGACTGCAAATCATTCAAAATTTTCTTAGTGCCAACTAATGAAAATGCAAATGATCAGTTTGTGACAAAAAACCTCCTTGGAGATCTTGAGGTCCATTTAATCCCCAAATGTCAGCTTCCTATGGTCGTGCAGAGCTGCTGTTTTCCTGCTGTTGTCACGAAAGACGGCAAGTTCTGTCGAGCTGGGCTTTCTGTTGTCTTAAGACATATAGTACAGAAAACATTCGAGGCAGATCCATCCAAAAAGAATGTTTTGGAACTCCTAGGCTTTAAGAAAACCTGCTTAAAAGCCTGTGCAGAAGTGAGTGCATCTCTTTCTCTTAGTTACATTAACAGGGTTTTAAATAAGAATGGAATGCTCTTGTAAACTCTTAATATTGATATTTACTGTATGGAGAAATGTCTGTATTTTATTATAAGGGAAAAATTGTTCTTTTTGAGGGTATAGCTTCAGCAACACAAAAACAGTTCAAACACTGGTTCAGATATTTGCTTCATTTTGGCAATATAGTCTCAGTACTGTGTCTGTTCCAGTTTTACGTGAATTAAAAAATACCTAATATAATGATAATTTTTCACAGAATGCCACTTTCTTTAACTGAGGAAATCAAATATCTGAAGGCAGGATGTTTGTGTGTGAAGTCATCGATTGTGGCTGTTGCCACAAGATTTTCGAGCACGTCATTAGGAACTAAACCTACATACTTTGCACATGATAAATTTTATCTGAAGAACGTGAAATCTGATGAGAAATAAGTGAGGGACACTGTTAGCTTTGTGGAGAATACAGGAATCAAGTTGTAGCCTTGCCAAGTTTGAGATAGAATTTTTGAATGTACTTACATGTTATTATCAATATTAATATTAGGCATTTAAGAATTTGAACTAGTAAAGCACTTTCCAGAGATTTGTCCAGGATGTGACCTTTGTCACAGCCCTACAAATGTAAACCTGTTCACAATGGTCATTGCTATATTTGCCTTCTTATACTTACTTCACACCTTATGAATAACCATATTTCAGATCATATCACAGCTGAATATTGCCTGTCTTCATCCCCTTTCTGATACCGATTTATGAAGGAAATTGCACATAAACAAGCTTATCTTCAATCAATCCATATAGATAATTATTTACTTGCCTTTAGGTTATTCAGAACTTGAAATATATGATCTGATAGTTAGCTACTTAAAGGTATAAAAGGTAACTTGGTCTGCCAGGAAACCAGTAAAAATGAATTCCTGTGTAGCGAAGGTCCTTAACTGAAGACCAAATGAAGCTTTACTGGAACAATTTGGGCACTGTAAATGGTTGTCCAAAGAAATGAAATTATCCCTGGAAGATGTTTCTTGGTAAACTAATGTAATGTATTTTTATTAACTAATTCAGAATGATGGTAATTATAGCTTCTGCACTGTGCACCTTTGTCAATACTGAGTGTTTCCTCAGAGAATAAGGGAAATTGGATTTAAATGCACGATGTTTGGGAAAAGCTAGAAAAAGCAAACTAAAGCAAAAAAGCAAACTAAAGATTTTGACAACTATTATTTAAAAATAAATAAAAAGGTTTTTGAATATTGAGTTTAATGTACAGAACTGGCATACTGTTCTGACTGCATCTGTGAATTCAGTTGCATTCTTGGGGAAGACATGGTAGAAGACTGCAGTTGATTTGATATCGTAGCCTAAAGTAAATAATAGAGAAGAAAAATAACATGAAAAAAATTGTTTAAAGTTACTGCTTGGTTACACTAAAGTTTCTTAATGTTGCATGCTAAGAAAAAAAAATAAGAGAACTAATCCAAAGCATTGCTGTACTCACACTTCTCATGAGTTACACAGCCAGCCTCATCTTATGCCAAGAAAGGGAAGTAAAAATGTACTGTATTGGATAACATTTCATCCTGTTTTATATATATCTATATCTATCTATATATAATATATATATAAAAATAACATTTTGCTTCTTAACTCAGCTATCACAGAAGTAATACAAAATATTTGGGCTCCTAAAATTATCAAAGGATGTATTTGAAGACAAAGTTGCTAACTTTGGCTGAAGTTTCCTTGTTTAAAGTAGACAAAAAGGTAGCTTGGATTTTGTTTCCTATTGTATTTATTAGATAAATTTATTTGACAGGTTAGCCAGTGGACCAGACTCTGTGAGATCAGCATACCTCTGGCTGTTGAAGGATTTTTGACGGCATCTCCTGAGCACAGTCAGACTATTCCTGCTGACATTTTACAGCTCGAAAGAAAACTTGCAGAGCCTGTCCGAGTGCATAACGATGACAAAATTCGAAGGCAAAAGCTTCAACAACAGAAGGCAGGTGCTAAGGCTGCAGTGTCTCTGCTTGAGAAAGAAGCAACAGAAGAAGGGAAAACAGTGGAGGTGCATGAACATCCACTTCCAAGTTTGGAACTGAGTGTAGCTTTCTCTAAGCTACATGTCCAAGAGGTGTCACCTGCAGGCAACAGAGAAGCCCCTCTCATCAGGAGAACAAAAACATCTGACCTTCCACCTTTAGACCACGTTTTTGCAGAGGGACTTTATTTTACCTTGGCAGATATTGTGCTTTTACCATGCATCCATCAGTTCCTGGTAAGACATCAAATTCCACAAATATTAAGCAGTGTAGATGGGCTTTTGTAAGAGCTGGAAAATTGTGAAATGTGTTCATTTAAAATATGTTGCAGCATTTGCAATGTGAGCATAACCCAAAACAGACAACTTGCCTTTGTTTTTATTTTTGTACAATAAAAGGCAGGGCTTGGTGAGATCAACAACATTCATTTCAAATAGTACTTAGTAAACACTCTTGACTACTCAAATACAATACTGAAATACTTTGGCCAGAGAATTCCTGCATGAGAATATTTAAAACGGACGCTTGTAGTACATTACAATGTGCATAAAACAAAAGCAGGTAAATACGAACCTATTTCAGTTTTGGATACAGTGCACTGGGAGAGCATTAGACAAAAGATGTTATTTGGCATTTTGTTGTTCTATTACTGTATCAGTATGGTCTGAATTGAAATTCTATCCATCTAAGGCTTGAAACTTTGTTACTTTGTCACTTTGTCTTGACATAGAATGCTCTTTAGGGAGAAGATGAGAAGAAAGATTTAGAGACTGTAGTGGCTTTTCAGAGACGTAAACACTGGAGTTTCCATGCTGTATCAGAGCTAAAGAGCTACTTGAGTATTGTTTTTAAAAAAATTATTTATGTGACTGGCATATAGTTTCTTGAGCTTTTTTTTTTTATAGAGGATTTTGTTGTTGTTGTTATTTACAAATATTTCCCTCTAAAATACAGTGTAGGAGGATTTCTGTTTTGCTCTGCATAGTATGTTAATATTCTTAGTCTCTGCTCTTGTTTTCCTCTGGTTCTAGAAATGATTCCTTCACTGGGGACAAAACATTCCTGTGTAGACAACCCTGTTTTAGTCTGTCTCAAATGGATGTTTTTATTACCAAGCCCTCACGTGAAGTAAGCCAGTTTCTTTGCATGAGTAGATAAGAGATGGATGTGTAGACAGCAGCATACCTTCATATCAGCAAACTTTTTATTTGTTTGTGCAGTATTGTGGTGGTTTTGTTAGGTCATTTTTTAATTAACTTTGTGTTCTCCTCCAAGCAAGGTCTGATCACTGTGACCAAGCTCAGAGGGGAGGGGCTACATCTAGGGAGCCAGCTTCTTTGGCTTGTGCTCCAGCCCCTCAAACCTCAGTAATCTCTAATTTTGTCATTCATAGTATTTTTGCTGCTAAACTGTTTTCCACAGCTTGTGGAAGGTCCTTTGTTTGTTACAGCATAAGAAGAATTTCCCTGGAAAACATTACATTGCATAACGTCTTGGAGTGGAGTTGTTGAATAGCAAAAATTAAATACATTTTATTCAAGGTCTATTTCTGCATTTGTAAGATATCATCATATTGCTTTTTTAATATGAAATTTTTTTTGCTTTGTAATTTTTAAATACTGAGCTTTCAGAAGTTGTTGACTTAGCATATAGCACACAAACTTGGTAAAGGCAGCTCCTGGCAGTAGGTACATAGAGAATATTTTCAGTTTCACTGCACATATCTGCTGCACTGTAGAGAACTATGAGAACTTAAAAAAAAGAAAAATTGAAAATACAGTAAGGTAAGGGCCTTCATATAACCTTTTATAACTTATTGGAACACAGGCAGGAGTTACTTTGGTTCATCAGAAGCATTGCTTTTAAAAAACCTAGATGGCCTCCCTATAAAAATATGATTTGAGTATATATGTATTTTTTGTGTATATACATAATACTCACATTTAGGATTTTGTTTGTTTTGCATTCAAGATTTCAGTTTTTATTTTCTTTCTTTGCTTTAAATCCAGCATTCATTGCTAATTACTAGGTCTTATAATTCATTAATTAAAATGAATTATTCTCATGTTAGGAAATAATAAATAATGAACAGTATTATTTATGTTTTTGTGGCACTGACTAAAGTTACGATTAAAGTTGTTCACATAAATATTTTCATCACATGGAAATTGCAGATAGCATTTAATGGCATTTCCACCTGCAAGCAGAGCTCCTAACTAGTTAGATTTTTACAGTAAGCAAACGTTTTGAGATTTAACATGGAGCTATTTTCATTGCCCACAGGTTGTCTTCTCCACATTGCTTGTGGAAAGAGGTTTACAATAGCAAGTTACCTTTCCATTTTGTTTTCCTAGGATTACAGCAAAAAGCAAGGCAAAGATCTGGTAAAGTTACCTCTGATCTCCAGCTGGTATCGAAGAGTTCAGCAAGTCCCTGGAGTGAAGAGAGCAGCTGACAAATGCAACATGCAGCTTCTCCAGCTTCCAGAGTTGATACCTGCTCCAGAGGATCACCTAGGAGACTTCTTTCCAGTTCCTGATAATTGTGAAGAAGAGCATGAAAACAGTCAATTTATAGGTGGTCCAAGGCCAACTATGACTAAATTAATGGTAATTTAAGGTTTTCAATCAGCTGTCTTAGTTATCTTAATTTATCTTAATTATGCTTATTTTGCAACAGGTGAAATTTATCTATCTATCTGATATGCATTGACTTAAAAGGTTTTTTAGTCTTTTTGTTCAGTTAACAATATTTGGTTGCTCAGGGATTGAGTAAGTGTACTCTGGAAGCCCTGTAAATAAGTCTTAACAACCAAAGTAGCCTTCTGTTTTATTTGTGATATTTATATTCTTTTTCTAAAGGTGTGTATGAAAAAAAATACAAATGATATTGTATGTTTAGCTTTAGCATTCTGTTTTTCTGTTGCTTTTTGTTGTTACTTCCATCGATCTTTGAACGTCTGAGACACAAATGAGTTTTGTTAAAGAAAACTCTTCATTGTGTTCCATAGTTTTCTGTATTTTATTTTACTTTATTGCATAGAGGTTACCACCCTCTTCTAAAAAGAATGGATGGTACTTTCTTGTGAAAATGACAAAAGTGTATAGTTTGAATTCTACAAACAGGAGTCATCTCCCTGTAAGTTTCATTTGGACTGAAAGCTATGTAGTATGATCTGATACTCTTAGATCTAGTGGGAATTCTACTACCAGTCTCAGTGGGTAAAAGACTGGGCTTCTTTTTTTCTGTTTTACATAGGAGAGGGGTATTGAAGCAAAGTTTTCTCCTCATCCATGCCCTGACTGGACCATAGACTGGCCCAGCCTGCCAGCAGCAGTCAATCCTGGAGAAGGTAAGGGTTTTTAATGTATTCTTAGTGCATTTGTTAGCGATGCTACTCGACTGTATCATAGGAAAAGATGTCACTTTTCATGAATGAATTTCAAAGCTGTGTTAAACAGGCAAGCAGTTTAAAATCTGTTTTAAATTTCAGGCTGTTTATAAGATGTGGTGAGATGACTTCCCTCAAATCATCAACAGTCAATGACCAAACTGTGAAATAAAAGCTTGAACTTGTTTTTGTACTTTTTCTCTACTGTTTCTGAGTTTCCTGAGCATTTCTTCATACTTAAGGCAGTAATCTTTGACCATGTGAGATGTTCCTGTAATCAGCACACGTGTCTATGTATAAACTGTGTCTCGCAGAGCAGTAGCAGCAGATTTTACTTTTATGGAAATGCACTGTATTAGCAAAGTTTGGAAGCCACATAGCAGTATTCCCTTTTGGGGCAGGTTCCCCTGCTCTGCAGTGATTGTTTTCTCTCCTGGATTGCAGAGCATTGTGCTACCGAGTGACTACAGAGTTCTGCAGAGAAAAAAGTGTATTAGCACAATATTCATTGTTTTCACTGGTGTTGTGAATATCAAATACCTTTCATACCACACATGCACACTTCAGACATCTGTGAATACAAACATATTCTTGCCTACAATGTGGAGGCTGTAAAAATAAAATTTGAAGTTCATTTCCTCTATTTTGGATCTGTGTGTTGTTTACGAAGTCCTGACAACTCTCGTGTACTGCGAGCATCTGTCCATACTAAGTCATGCTTCTTTAGACTTCGCGCGGTTATTTTGGATGTACCTTTTATGTTAAAACAGCTTCATAGTCTGATGAAAAGCTTTGGGAGGGTTGTTTTCTTGAAATGCCAGTGACTGCATTCAGTAATGAATGTTCATTTTTGCTTCCATCCAGTGCTCAGATTTTTGGCTATAAATTTTACTTACTACTTCTGTTAACGTACCTCTTTTCTTCCATTTAGGAAAAGAAACCAAGAAAGATGCATGATGTGCAAAACAATGTGTGCATTGGGAAACTTTATTTTTTAACTGATCTATTAGACTTGGTTTGATTGGCTGGAGTTAAAACAACCCCTGATTCTTGTGTGTATATGCTCTCCCTCTTTTTTTCTTGTTTTCTGATACAGTTAGTGATGATATCAATGTCTGAAAGAGTCTGCAGCCCAATTTTGGGGAGCGAATATTTGCTGGCTCAACAAGGCTGCCAGGAGAGGGAGACTTCACCCCCCCCAAATCACACCTCCCATCCTGACAGCAATTATGCTGATGCTATTCACTGACTTAGGGAAACTCCAGATGGTTGTACGTTTAGTCTGGGGCCTGTAATGTCACACAGGGCAAAAAGAAGTTTCCTGATATAATTGATTTCTCTTTTTGGTTGGATACATGCATGTGGTTACCTCTGTTGTTCTATGTGAGACTGTTCTTTATTGCCTAATTCTTCTGCTAGTAAAGCCTAGTTGTTGTTTCATTAATTTAGTTATCTGTATTTTATTAGTAAGTCCTACATGATGTAGGATTGTGATGAGAAAATAGTCACTGACAGAACCTGACACAGTTTTAAACCAGGTTTGGGTAATTGAAGCTTTCAAACAGATTACTGCTGTAGTTGGTAAAAACAATTCTTACTAATACTTATGGAAGACAAAATAGTGAAAGTTTCACTTAAAACTCACCTTGGCTTTTATTTACAGTTAACTCAATTAGCTGGCAAATTGTACTTTAATGTCGTAGATGATGTGATTTCTGTGCTCTGAGATTAAATATTGTACTTCCTGTCAGAAGTATGTGGAAATTCTCGAATGGTTCAGCCTGTCTGTAAGGCTAATTAGACCACCTTGCTGTCACAGCTGTTTGCTAATGATTGCATTTATGATGTAATCATTTAGAAAAAAAGATTAACTTCATTTAGTATTTTTATAGGGATTATTTATTGTGAATTGTTACTTCAGATAATAACATCATGATATTGGATGGATATTTTAGTTCTTACAGACTTTTGCTTCAGGAAGAAATTTAAAACAAAATTTTTATGTTTTAAAATATATTGTAAATGCTGATGTCTGTTTTAATTAACTCTAAAAACTTGGTCAGTACTTTTTAATTGGCTTTTTCTTCTCCTGAGCTTATTTCTCAGATCTGTAATGAGGTCAGAAATATGTTGATATCATCTATTAAATAAAGGGGCCAAAACCTCTCAGCACTTTGTTTTCTACATAGTGTAACTGACCCTCAGTCACGTCTCCTTTCTTCTTCTCTTGTGAGTTCAAATAAGTTAAGTAAGAAATATTACAAAAATGAAAAAATAAAATTTATTTGTGATACTTTGTTCTGAAACAAAGCTAGACTGACAGTGTACTTGTGATGGTATTCACTTAAAAAGGTGGTGATTGTCTGCAAACAAATTTAGACTATTCTTTCCAGGGCGTGAAGATGCTCAGAGTATGAGCACAGCATGTATCAAACTGCAGTCGGTAGGCTCGTGGTGCTGTCTTTTCTTATAAAAGTGTTTCCCGAATTTGCATTCAAATGTTCAGACTTTTAAGGAGATAAATAGAGTTTTAGAATGCTTTACTCAGTTTGTAAAACGAGACGGAATTTGAAGAGGTCAGCGCCCAATATTCAGACTGTCTGTGAAATGGTTATTGAGAAGAGATATGTTACTTTGATATGTAAGACACAAAATAATTGATAGCACACTGTGAATGTGGTTTATTTTTTGTGAGGGGAAAAAAAGCCACAAAAAAAACAAAACAGAACTTGTGAAAAACATGCAAATCGTATATTGAAGATTGCCTTCGTTGTCTTTTTTACACAAATAATTTATGTCACCTAAGAGTCTGATCCAGTGCTCTTTCTTTGAGAGGTCTGCTTTTATTAGCAGGTATATTTCAATAGTTGTATGAATATAAATCTTAGTGTAAGTGCCAAACTTGATTATTTATGTACATATAGAGTACAGAATGTCCATATAAGAAACAGAAGCTTTTCTGAATTACAGAAAAAATAGTGACAAGAGAAGGAAACTGCTCTTACAGTGCTACTTTTCTTCGTCTGATAGTGTAGTAGCAATCTTTTTTTTTTTTTTTCCAGAAGAAAATGTTAGTCCTATTTTTTTTTTTTTTTTAAGGGTTCAGGATTTTGTTCTTCTGTAGCAAAAACATAAATGAAGTGGTTTGAATGTAATTTCTGATAACCAGTTATCTCAAACCATTTGAGAATGTTAAGAAACTGAGCATGTTTACTCTGGCATGTTGATTTGAGAATTGACATCAGAAAATTTATGACCAGATGAAGACAGAACATTTTATTAAAATCTTTTTAAACCAACTTTTAATGATTCTGAATATAGACAGATGGAAATTTCTGCTGTTGTTATATAGTTCACTGACAAAGCCCCAGATTTGATGCATGTCTGCAGAAGAGTTGTTTGACAAAGTCACATCCTCCTCAAAAGCATAAATAAAACCCTAAGGTAGTGAGACAAACTTCCTTTTAGAAATAAAATCTTTATATTCCATAATGGTTCCACAGAGCAATTGCTTGCATTTTCTTTATGGTACTAATTATTTGCTCACTAGGTTTTGTTTTGTTTTTTAAACCAACTGTCCAACACAACTCAGGGTTACTGTAATGCAAATCTTTTTCTGGAAGAAAGAAAAATGAATTACAGATACTTGGCTGACACTTTTTTGCACTGGAATTGTTAAGATATATCTCACAAAGACAAGAGTGATTTCCTTCGCTGCCAATAATAAATCTGCTAAATAAAAATTTACTGGGATTTGGATGTCAAAATGTTTTTTATAGCTGGACAGCCATTGATCTTGGAGATGCCATTTATGTTGTTGTTTTTATTTTTTTTTTCCAAGCAGTTGGTTTGTCCTTTGAGGTAAGCTCTCAAGGACTCTCCAGATATTTACTGTTCGGTGTGAGTGCTTTGCAAATACTGAGTACTGTGTTGGTAACTTGCTACTCTGCATATTCTCTCTCTCTAATTAGAGTAGAATAGAGTGTTCTCAAATTTTATAGGGCATTTAATATGAAATTTGCATTAGACTTTTAGGAAGTTTTAGGAAGGAAAATACGCGGATGAATTTATTTTCTTTCTGTGAGACGCAGTATGCTTCTTCCTCCTTCTCCCTTCTTTCCCCCATCAGTGATACAAAAATAGCCTGATTTAGGAGCTGCAGTTGCTTTGTCTAATAGTAAATTAGCATCATCAAAACAATTTTCCTTGTGATGCTAGTTTTTCAGGCTTGACCCATATAATTGTTCAGTGCTATCTCTGGTCTTAATTTTCAGTGTGCATAACTTGGGAGTAAAGGTGTCAGCTATTTTTATGCCTACACTTGAAATAAAACCTTTGGTCTTTGAAGACTAAATAGGCAAGCATATGTCGTCCTGTCTGTAAAATTAATTTACCTATTTGCTAGAATGTTGCTTTGTAAAATGTTTTCTCAAACTCCCAAGCTCTCCCCAGAAAAATGGTTTTGTACTCTGTTTCTTCAGATCAGTAAGACTCTTGAAATCCATCAGTTTGTACATTTTGAGGCTAGAAAGACAGTATGATAATGTATACCTGTTGGTATTTGATACAGCAGTGTTAGTGGTTTACCTGACAACAGTCCTGGATGATTGGTGTTAGGTTTTTTTTCCAGAACTGATATGAAGACACTGCAATTTGCTGTGGCCTCCATCAGTGAGGTGCAGAGACTTTGTAACTCAGTATAAAAAAATTCAAAAATGTTTTGGACTTCATAATACACAAAAGTAGTGTTAATGAAAAGAAAGGGGAAACTTTAATGATCTATGATGACGTACTCCATTTGATCTATCAACCATTGAAGAAGGTAGCTTCCTACTGAATTCCATGTATTCTGGGCAAAATGTTGGTTTTTTGGCTTTTATGCTCATACTAAATGACTCCGTAATTGTTCTCTAATTTAACTTTGATTAAAAAATACTGATGTTTTAATGACAGCTGATTTT